GTTGAACCTATGCTTAAAGAAATGGAGTCATTAGTCTGCACTCCATGGCAATTACAAGGACTGGCTTAAGAAAAATGTATGTCTAATCAGAGCTTTTGTTTTTTTGCCTGTTATTCTGTGGTGCATCTAAAGAGATATTCTCTCAGGGGTCTGAGTCCCTGAGCTGTAAGGGTCTATTAGTCAGAGTCCTCTAAAGAAGCAGAAATGATAATATGAATATATATATATGAAATTGTTATAGCAGCTTATATTCTGTGATCAGATAGTCTAGAAATGGTTATCTCCCAGCATCAACAACAACAAAAAAACCAAAATCCTGTAGTTGTTCAGTCCACAAGGCTGGTTGTTTCAGTCTGTTAGAAGAAGTAGGTTCTAATGCCAGCAAAGGAATTCATCATCATCAGAACTTCCATTAAGAATGAGGGCAACCAGGCAAAAAAGCTTCCTCCTTCCATATCCTTTTATTTAAGCTGCCAAAGGTATGGCCTTGACTTAGGGTGGGTGTTCCCACCTCAAATGATCTATCTAATCAAGAAAAATTCCCCACAGCTGTGCCCAGTTCTTTGGGCCTTAGTTGATTCTATATGTAATCAATTCAACAATCAAGCTTAGCCATCACAAAGGGAATATAAGGTCTTTGAAAATACGGTCTCTTGAAAGGTGCAACTTGTGTGCTGAAAGAACCTAGTGGAAGACCTTGGGCTATTCTTGAAGATGTAGGGCTGCAACCCACTGGACAGGCTCCAAGAGCATGCCTTGTAAGAGTCCCCCTCTCTCAAACTAGCACAAGCCCAGACTCTGCCCCGCTCAACAAGAAGCAGCTAGAGTTGTCATAGCCCCTTCCTCTGATAGCAGTCGGTGTTGCCCTCTTATGGTGATATTTTAATTGTACTGAAATGTGATTTTATTTGTATGTTAATAAATAAAGTTGCCTGGGGATCAGAGCTAATAGCAAGCCATAGCAGAAGCTGGGCGGTGGTGGTGCACGCCTTTAATCCCAGCTCTTGGGAGGCAGAGCTAGGCGGATCTCTGTGTGTTCAAGGATACAGCCAGCATGGAGACACACGCCTTTAATCTCAATACCAACCATAGAAGACCTGGAGGTCTGTACAGACAGGCAGTGACGAGGAGGTCATGTGGTTGGGTTTACAACCAATGAAAAGGCAGAATAAAAAGTCTATAAAAAAGACAAACAGACAGGAAGTAACTCTCTTGCTGAAGAGGACAACAGCAGCAGTGAAGGGTAAGGTTTTTAGCTCTTAGCTCTGACCTTTTGGGCTTTCATCTCTACATTGGCTCTGTGTTTCTTATTTAACAAGATCATTTATCTACACCCTCTAAGTAGGATTGGGGAGTACTGAAGGGAGAGTTGGAGGAACATAGGTAGACTTCCTAAGATGCCAGCTTCTTGTTCCCAGAAATCATTGTGGGGAGGAGTAGCAGGAAGGTATGAGGTCTGGTATCTAAACAGAACCAGGGGGAGAAAGGGGAGGACCCAGGGCCCCTATAAAACACCCAAGTCAAGACTACTAGTCTTACGGCCCCACCCAATCTGAAGGATTAAAGTTGTTACTTTCCCTTTCTTTGCAGTTGGGTCTTCTTCATGGAAGTTTAGTTCTTGGTCTGTAGTTCCATAGATGACCATCAACACTCCGGTTACACAGGCAACCCCTGTGTACCATGGAGGCATTTCATGACTATTAGGATTTGTGTATGCCTATGCTTCTGTTTTCCTTAATGCCAAGGAGCCAGTTCCCTCTACAAGCCACCCTTAATCCCTGCCACTGTTGTCACACTTTTGCTTTTGTATGCCCTGCTCCCATTGGAGTTTCTCAGGTCCAAGCCAAGGAGCCATGAGTAGGATGGATAAGAGAATATTCCAAAGTAGTCTTGGGTCATTTATCTATTCAGCAGACTTGGTAGGCAGCCTCGTAATTTGTCTGGTAGTGGGAAGATGTTTACAACTCCATTCACAGACCACTCCTTAGGAATTTGTGGATTTGAAGGTCTTTTTAAAGTTACTGTTACCAAAATGAAATTTTAGACTGAAGGTGCATATTTAAAACAGATATATAGAGAACTCTTTAAAAGGAGGATGTGGTATGAAGCTCTGTGTACTGGGAGAATCCAACTAAACCACTAAGCACTCTGAAAAATATCAGGCCTGAAGGAACATTCTATAGCCCAGGCAACTCTTAAGCATCCGAAATTCTCTACCTAGGTGAACCCTTCAGGGAAGGAAGCACGTTTGCTGATTTTTCCACTTCACCCACAGACCGGGTGTGACAAGAGCTTAGAAAAGGTCTGTTTCAGACAACTATATGACATAGATTCCATCAGAGCTGTAGGAAAACAGACAAAAACACTCAAGAGTGAAATATTTAGAAACTTAGTGTGTCACTAGTCCTTAAGTGCTGAATGAGAAGATAGGGGTTAGTAAGATGACCCAGTGGATAAAGGTGCTTACTTAGCACACAAGCCGGTGACCTGAGTTCAGTCTCCAGAACCTACATAAAGGTAGGAGAAAACCAACTTCCCAAAGTTGTCCTCTGACCTCCCAACCTCCCCACCTCCCCAACACAATTTTTAAAAAAGAGGATAGAAGCTTTGCTGACAGAAGCTGAGCCAACGGGCCATGGAGAATGATGCCCAAGGAGCTGGAGCCAGTGGCAGTTTGCCTCCCAGGATGGAAGTATTCAAAGATTTACACAACTGACATGGCTACGTGTCATCCACGGATAGGTGAACAGATAAATGAATGGGTGGAGAGACATGGATGGGTGAACTGATGAACGAAAGGTTGGGTTGATAGGATGAATAGAAGATAGATGGTGAGAGGGTGACAGAAGGGTGGACATAGAGGGTGGAAAGGTCTGAGGGGAGATGGATGGGGTAAAAAGAGGACTGGATGGGGAGAGGTAAGGTGATAGAGGCATAGTTGCACAGAGGTAGGGGCAGGGTACATCCCATCTCTCCACACTGACCTGATGTTCCGCTCTGGCATCCCACAGGGAGTTTCCTGGTCCCCTATGTCATCATGCTCATTGTAGAGGGGATGCCACTCTTGTACCTGGAGCTGGCTGTGGGACAACGCATGCGACAGGGCAGCATCGGTGCCTGGAGGACCATCAGCCCCTACCTCAGTGGTGTCGGTATGTGGGATCCTCTTTAGTTCCTCTGACAGAGACTCATGTGTTTCTGGGCATCACAGGTGTGTGGGTTGCTGTCCATAAGCAAGACCTGTGACTGGGTTAACTAACAGCCTAGGGAGGGCTACCATGGAACTTGGGCAGAGAGGGCCCTGAATTCTGACCCCCACATGCAGCCCCCCAAGGAAACTCCACCTCAGGGCATCTCCACTCTGGACCTCAGCTTGAGATTCTGTGAATGACTGGACACAGCTGCCTGGCACAACAGCATTCATTCAGTCCCAACCACCTACCATCTGGGGATGTACACAACTGCCCCCTGCTTACTGTGTGCCTGATGCTGAGCATGGCCTATGACTGTGTGAGCTCATTTCATCCTCACCACACAACTTAGGGGCTTTGGGGCACCACAGTGATACCTGTATGCAGAAGCCAAGGCATCTGTGCATAGTAGGTGGCTTCACTTCCCACCATAACTTTTCAAAGCAACCTTCACTTGCTATCCTCTGCTGTCTCCAAGACATGGTTCACCTCCCCTGTAAAAGCCCAGGATCTAGGGCCATCAATGGCCACAATTATTCTGGGTACCTTCCCAACCCAGAAAGGGGAGCAATTGTTCAGGAGTGAGGAAGGGTCAGCTCTGTTTAATAGGAAGGAAAGCAGCTGAGTCCCTAAGGAGCGCTGACACCCACTTACTGGCCCATTTCCCTGTGCTGGTGGTGGTGATACTGATGTACTCCCACAAAGACCAAAGTCAGCAACTTAAAAACAGTCCTGAGTGCTGCTGTGGGGACCAGTCTTCAGCAGCTCAGGAATTGAAGGGGAGCCACAGAGTTGACTGATTGTTTTTCAGATGTAAGACTCACCCATCAGTGCTTTGCATGCTGGTGCACTGAACGCATGAATTCAAGTGCCACCTGCTGCTCCTTTTACATTGCCACCAGCACCTGAGTACATGTGGAATGGCAAGAGCTGGGAACAGTGCTCCTAAAAGCCAATGTCAGACCACTGCAGAGCAACCTGGTGTCATACTCTCTCTGTCCACAGTGCTACCCTAGGCCCTTCTCAGGTCTAAGGCAGTGGGACTGGTCTCCACACTTCATGCCTCTGCCATTCTCCATCCCTCCTGATAACAGAAGTGTGAGTTTGGCCACAGTGACCTAGTCTAAAGGGAACAATTGTCATATGAGGCACGTGGGTGACACTTTTCTCATGAGGTTTGTATCCTGTTTCTGCTGGGTGATCTTCTCTTCTGTGAAACAGGAAAAATATTGTTATGAAAATCAGACACATTGTGGTGGTTTGAATGAAAACGGCCTCCATAGGTTCATAGGGGCACTATTTGAAAGAATTAGAAGGTGTGGCCTTGTTGGAGGAAGTGTGTCACTGGGGACGAGCTTTAGGGTTTCAAAAGCCCAAGCCAGTCTCAGTGTCTTTCTCTTCCTGCTGCCTTCGGATCCAGAGGTAGAACTCTCAGCTACCATGTCTGCCTGTATGCCACCCTACTTCCTTCCATGACAATAATGGACTAAACCTCTGAAACTGTATGCAAGCCACAATTAAATGCTTTCTTTTATATGAGTTACCATGGTCAGGATCACTTTTCAGCAATAGAACACTAAGACACACATCAAGCATGGAGCCCAGGACCTAGCACTTAGATGTTAAAAAATATATGAGAAGTTGGGGAAGGAAGCCTTGGAAACAGGTCACAAATGTAAAGTCATGTTTTAAAAAATATGTAGGGGGCGAGTATTCCTCCCCTGGGTGGTCCCATCATGTCTGTCTTGGGATGCTTACAGGTTAGGCTACTACACCTGATTTTCAGCATGGCCTTCTTATTCCTTTCAGGCATTGCTAGCTTGGTGGTTTCCTTCTTGATCTCTGTGTATTACAATGTCATCAACACCTGGGCTATCTGGTACCTCTTCCACTCCTTCCAGGTGAGCAGAGGCCTAGTCATAACAGGAACAATAAGGGGAGAGGATTCAGGCCTCCAGGAGGAATGGAGAAGTTTGTGGGTTTATAACCTGAAGGGAGCCTGAGGGGAAGACATACTACCAATCATTCATTGGACTTCTGATTCTGATGTTCCACACTAAAGGGAGAGAAACTGCTCTAAAAACAAAGAATATGGGGGCAGTTAGTAGCTGTCTGTGGGAATATCCAGGTAAGACCTGCAAAACCGCTCTCATACATACTAGTAAGGCCTGCTTGGAGCCAGGGTCTCATGGAATGAGTACCCTAGAGTGCAGGCCTGGCTCCTGATGTTGAGAGAGTAGCCTTGCACACTAGATAATGCCACTGGGCCCTGAGCTGTGTCCTGTGAAATGTAGCCTTGAAGCCAATAGGTTGCTCAGACTTGTTTCTATTAGTGGAACATTTTTGTCCTATAAATCTAACCTTATAGAAGTCAGACCTGTTCAACAAGGCACTTATCTTAGAGCAGGTTTACTCCCACACCACCCACAACTCTGATCAGATTTCTTTCTTTCCTTCAATCCCCTTTAGAACCTCTTTGAGCAGCTGGCCTTGGATGATGATCAGACAGACATTATTTAAGTTAATTTGTTTTTAAGTGCCGAAGAACCCAGTTAAAACTACCTAAAGCAGAAGAGGGTTTCACTGTCTCTACTCTACATAGTCAAGGAATCTTAACTGCCAAGCTCGGGTACTGCTAATTACTGCTCAAAGGAAGTCACTAATGCCAGGGTCTCTGACTCAAGGGCTTCAATAGCTTCATGGCACTGGACCTCACCTCCTTCTTGTTCCACACCCATGGGATGAAGTATCTGTCTATAGTCTTAAAGGTGTCCTAATGATGAGTTGGCTTGGGGAAGTTGGAAGTTAGCTGTTTAGCTGTTGCTTTCTCTGGCTTGTTCTAAGTTGAGGGGAGGGAGGAGAATTCATGAGTTATTTACAAGTCTTTTTTTTTTTCAGTTAAAAATTTTTGTCTATGGGCGTTTTTTCTGCATGTATATCTGTGTACTACATTAGTATACTAGTATGTAATACTACTACACTGTGTAAGAAAGCTAGCTAATCATAATCCTGTGAACAAACCAGCAAACAGTATTTCTTAATTGACTTTTGCTTCAAATTCCTTCTTGTGTTCCTGCCCTGACTTTCTTCTGCCTATGGTCAGAAAAGGGCATCAGATCTTCTGGAACTGGAGTTACAAATGGTTGTTAGTGCCATGTGGGTGCTATGTGGGTGCTGGGAACTGAACCTAGGTCATTTAGAAGTCAGTGTTCTTAACTGCTGAGCCATCTCTCCAGCCCTGTCATTAATAAGTTCTGACCATCCCAGCAGTGGTGCAAGAGCTTAGAGTTTAAGCTCCTGATTTGGCTGCTGCAGCGATGCTGAATCAGTGTTCTCTTATTGTAGCTGGTCTGGTCACTAGATACCAGTAACAGTCTTCTAAATCCATAAGAGAGTGTAGTAGCCCTCAAAAAACACATGCAGAATTGCAATAAGAAGCAACTCTTATTAGTCAGCTTTACTAGATCAAAATATCCTAGGCACTAATTTATAAAGAGGAAAGATTTGTTAATTCACAACTTGTCCTCTAGTAAAGATTAAGTTTAGCAGAATATCATGTCCTGCATACATATGGGAGGAAACAGCCACAATGAAACCAGAATAGAAAGCAAGAAGCAGGGATCCCCTTAGCTCCTTGAAAAGTACATCCCAATACTTTCTTACTTGGCCCTACTTCCTAAAGATCCACAGCACCTCCCCATCCAAGGGAACACAGCCTCTGGGAGTGGATCTTTGGGGGAATGCCCAACATCCAAACCAAACCAGTCATCCTCCATGCCATCCATATCCCCTGAAGACCTAAGTCCTTGTCAGCCTCAAAGGCTGCAGCCATTTGTCCTTGAGGGACCAGCTTCCTTCTCTTCCAAGATCCCTCTGCCAAGACTATATCCGATCATTCCACCGAGCCCTTGACGTTCCCCTTACTTTTCTGCTGATTCTCAATTCATTCCAAAGGATCCCCTGCCGTGGTCTATTTGCCCACTGAATGATAACCGCACAGGCTATGATGAGGAGTGTGAGAAGGCTTCATCAACACAGTACTTCTGGTACAGGAAAACACTCAACATTTCACCATCCATTCAGGAGAATGGAGGAGTGCAGTGGGAGCCAGCACTGTGTCTCACCCTGGCCTGGCTGATGGTCTATCTGTGCATCCTGAGAGGCACCGAATCAACTGGCAAGGTAGGCTGGGGAGCACGATAGCGCTGTGCCTGGATGGATTTGGCCATGGACAGATGGGTGCTGCAGTGAGCTCTGCAAGTATTCACAGAGGGCCATGGAGAGAAAAGTGCCTGCCCTAATTACCTTTAACTGTCAACTTGACACAGCCCAGAGTCATCTAAGAAGGGAGTCACAGTTGAGGGGTTGCCCAGATCAAATTGGCCTATGGGCATGTCTGTAGGGGATTGCCTTATTATAATGTTTATTTTGAATCAAGTTTCTTCACTTGATTATTTTATCATCAGTATAAACATGCTAGTGTCCAAAAATCTCGAATTTATATATCATTATGTCAACAAGCTGATGATGGCCTTATTAATTGATGTAAGGGGGCCCAGCCCACTGTGGATGGCACCATTCCCTGGGTAGGTGGTCCTACACAGTATAAGAAAGCTAGCTAAGCATGATCCTGTGAACAAACCTGTAGGTAGAGTTTTCCTGCCTGGCCCACAGTCAGGGCAAATCTCTCTCACCTGCCAGTCCCACAGCCGTCAGACCCGACCAAGTAAACACAGAGACTTGTATTGGTTTCAAACTGTATGGCCGTGGCAGGCTTCTTGCTAACTGTTCTTTCAGCTTAAATTAATCCATTTTTATAAATCTATACCTTGCCACATGGCTCGTGGCTTACCGGCATCTTCACATGCTGTTTCTCATCGTGGCGGCTGGCAGTGTCTCTCTGACTCAGCCTTCCACTTCCCAGCTTTATTCTCCTCCTTGTCCCGCCTACACTTCCTGCCTAGCCAATGGCCAATCAGTGTTTTAATTATTGACTAATCAGCAACACATTTGACATACAGAACATCCCACAGCACTTCCCCCCTTTTTTTTTAAAAAAAAAAAAAGGAAGGTTTTAACCTTAACAAAGTAAAATTACATATAATTTGGGAATTTGGGCGTAGCTTCTCTTACTACTTCCTGCTGGAGGGGGGCGCTGTATCTTATGGGGAAACAAAGAAAATTTTAGGATTATGGAATAGTCCATGAGGGTGTATCGTCTGAGCCAGTTGCCTTCAAACCGTTCTGGATGTTGGATCATCTGGGCCATGGTGTCATAGGAGACCTTTCAGGGGGTCTTGGCTGGTCAAACCTGATGTATCTTAATCTGGAACAAATCCATAGCCTTTGGCTTTCTGTGGGAACAAAAGCAGAGTCTCCTTTCCAAAGTAACATATCCTTATATCCAAATTTTGAAGTCAAGGTACCTTTAAAATATACATTTTGGCATAACTCAACAGCTTTTACAATCAAATATTTTTCTGCAATTAAAAGTCCCAAAGACAACACAATGCAGATTCTCTGTGTAATATCCATTTTTACGTGGCTTATTTTTTATACTACCTTTACTGTCTCTTTAAAGACTTTATTTTTTAAAACTATGTATTTATTTCTATAACTCTATATATCATCTTTTTTGTCTCTTTCAAGCCTACGTATCTTTTACACACATTTTAAACTATTACATCTGAATCTGTCTTATTGTGTATCTATTGCTTTAAACTGCAGCAGCTGTGGCTGCTGGATCCACCCACCTCAGCTTCCCAACATGGCCATGGTTTACCGCCAGCTCTGGGAGCTATCGGGGGTCTATGCTTTTAGCCAAGCAGCGTGTAGCCCAGAAACCTCCCCTTTTGCTCTGCACCAGCAAAGGCTAAATCCACTATGCAGCTCAAAGTGCCACTTGCAAAGGCCTCATTCCCGCCATAGGCAGGTCGAGCACGCACGCTAGGAACCCACCAGTAGCTCAAACCAGCAGCTGCCGCTCATTTGAGAGAGACAATTAGGAACTGTTTTTAGCTCCGTTTTAGCATCTTTTTTTTTCTCAGTTTTTAGGTGGAAACTCTTGCCACCACGTTGGACGCCATTTGTAGGTAGAGTTTTCCTGCCTGGCCCACAGTCAGGGCAAATCTCTCTCACCTGCCAGTCCCACAGCCGTCAGACCCGACCAAGTAAACACAGAGACTTGTATTGGTTTCAAACTGTATGGCCGTGGCAGGCTTCTTGCTAACTGTTCTTTCAGCTTAAATTAATCCATTTTTATAAATCTATACCTTGCCACATGGCTCGTGGCTTACCGGCATCTTCACATGCTGTTTCTCATCGTGGCGGCTGGCAGTGTCTCTCTGACTCAGCCTTCCACTTCCCAGCTTTATTCTCCTCCTTGTCCCGCCTACACTTCCTGCCTAGCCAATGGCCAATCAGTGTTTTAATTATTGACTAATCAGCAACACATTTGACATACAGAACATCCCACAGCACAAACCAGCAAACTATTTCTTATTGACTTCTGCTTCAAATTCCTTCTTGTGTTCCTGCTGACTTTCTTCAGTGATGCACCATGACCTAGAAGTGTCAGCCAAACAAACCCTTTCCTTCCCTAAGCTGCTTTTGTTTAAAATGGTTTATTACAGCACAGAAAGGAAACTAGCATGGTGCCATAATAAACTATGAGATTTACAGAAAGCTATGGAGAAATGGATGCCATAGTAGACTAGGGATGTGTTCACAGAGGCTGAGGGGAAAATTTTAAAGGCAAATATGTGGAGGATTATGCAAGATGTTTTGAGACTAAAGTCCTTGAACACAAGGACTGACAGTAAGGGACACCTTAATCCCTGACTGAACATAGTTACTAAGCAGACCATCTTGACAAGTTTCAGGGTCCTTTTTGTTTCTGGTATCTTTTGTGACAGTGACAATCAAGTGGTCATATATAAGAACCCTTCTTCCTAGCCTCCTGGCTTTATTTACTTTTATATTAGAGTTGATAAAAGTGACACCATTTTTATCCTGAAAACTTTCAGACCTTGTAAAAGAATTTTAGTGCCTTTTCCAGATGTTACCAGCTATGGGCAAACTCCTAAGACATCTGACTCAAAGATTGTGCCATGATCCATGCAACTGCCATCTTCGTGGTGATGTAAGCAGGTGCTTTGCTCTGTTTCCAGGTTAGCTGTGCTGTTCTCTGGTAGGGCACCATTAGGCTCCCTTGAATGAGGTTTTATTTTATCTCTTAATTTTTAAGAGCTCACAGCATTTATATTATTGATTTAATTTCACATATTTTAAATTAAACATTTTGTAAAAACAGTATCTTCATTTCAATGAAGATATATATTGATAATTTTGAGTGAACTTTTTTGCATACTGTTGCATAGCTATTTCCTAAAAATTGAGGCTGACTCCATTCCTGGGTTCCCACAGGTGGTCTATTTCACTGCATCGATGCCCTGCTTTGTGCTCATCATCTATCTGGTTCGGGGCCTCACACTCCACGGAGCCAACAATGGCCTGGTGTACATGTTTACACCTAAGGTATGGGAAGAAGTCTTGAGGGTGCTGCTACCCATTTTGGTCCCTTTTGGTATGCCTGGAAAAAAAAAAAAGCATAGTATGAGGAAGGAAAAGCTGTAAGTAACCAAGGAGGATGGTGTGAGCCCAAGGCTGGGCCAAGGGCTGTGGATGCCTTATGGCACATGGACCCATCCTCAGACAGGTCATTCTCAACCCTGTGCACTCTAGAACATTAAATCCTCTGTCCATTCCCTCCTACACTTTCACTACCCCTAATGACTGATGCCAGTCCTTCCTTTCTACCCTTTCTGCTCCACATCTCACCCAAAGTCCTGTCTAGAAGCTCCACTGAGCTGATGACCACAGATGACACTCCAGTCATTTCCCTTATCTGTCCCCATGCTTCCTTAGATCCTTCCCCTCCAGGTTGTGATGATCCCTTCCTTAACCTTCTCTCTCCAGGCCAATGTTCTTCAATGGAAAATAGGACACATTATTCATTTAGCAAATTTTGTGCCTGGAGACAAATGTCTATAGAGCTCTTCTATGGACTCCCTTAGTGTGACAGCTCTCAGGCCTAGGCATCTTAAATCATTAGCTCCTAGCTTTGTGGTGTTTTTAGAATTTATCCAGCAACAGAGGCAATCTATAGTCTTCAACTCTTCATAGCCTTTGCTGTCTTTGTGACCTCTGCTGCCTACTCTTACTCTTTGGAACTTCTCTGCTGATGCTTTAAAGATAGTGGTGGTGGTGGTGGTGGTGATGATGATGATGTTGTCACCTTTCCTTCCACAATCTCTTCTTCCTGTTTCCCCTCCAATCCACTCTAATAATGACGAAGCAGATATTCCATGACCTTTTCAGGAAAAATTGAACAAATGCTGTTCCTCCTAGAGAGGGCACCAAAAACACACCAAAGAAACAAGTCTGCTCAAGCCTAGCTTAGTGAAGCAATGAGTTTATTAGGGTCAGTTACAGGGGCATAGATGATTCAAAGGCAGTTGTATCACAGAAAAGCCCACCCCGGCATAGGCAATGACACACAAAGACTACATTCCCAGAGCATCCTGCACTACTTATCTCTTATCTACAGAAGTTGTTCCCACTTAAATAATCTTGGGGCATGGCCTTATGAATCTGGTAAATTTCAGGGGCCTCTTGAAATGTGTCAGTTTCATTAACTTCCTGTTTTGTTTTGTTTTTGTTTTTGTTTTTGTTTTTTTTGGTTGAGACAAGATTTCTCTGTTTGGCCATGGATGCCCTGGAACTCATTCTGTAGACCAGGCTGGCCTTGAACTCACAGATATCCACCTGCCTCTGTCTCCTGAGTGCTGGGATTAAAGACATGCTCTACCACTGCCTAGCTCACTTCCTGAATCTTAACAAGCCACGGGAGGAAATGTTTCATTGGGAGGAAATAGCTATATAACAATTGGCAAGAAAACATACAAGAGAAGACTTTTACTAGGTCTAATGTTGCATAACCAGAGAACAACACAGCTAATTCAAAAATTGAGCCAAACACCTGCTTATATAGCCAGAGAAAGAATGTATGTTTGCATCAATCATGATAGTTATTGTACAATTGAAGTACTGTGTTTGCACCAATAACAGGCTGCCTCCCCCCAACAAAGGAGTAAACTTTTTTAATGATTAATTGTAGTAGGGTTCTGTGCTGTTGTTCCCTTTGGGGGACCGGGCCAAGTAGGCACAGTGTCAAACCACACAGACTCCGGCAGAATGTAGAAACAACAAGCTTAGTTTATTCAGGAAGAGGCAAGCCTTATATATCCTCCACCCCACCCTGGGGGGAGGTCTGATATGTATCAGCTGGTGTGACGTGGCTGCCTCTCATTGGTTCGGGTCATCTCTAGATCATGTTTCAGCTGCTGTTGCTAAGACCATCAGCAGACCCAGGCTGGCTCTCAAAAAGTATCTCTTTTACTTGTTTGGGCCGGATGGCCCACAAGCCTGTTAGGGATAAGTTATCCCACAATTAATCTTTATTTTATGTGCATTGGTGTTTTGCCTGCATGTGTGTCTGTATGAGGGTGTTGGATCCCCTGGAACTGGAGTTACAGTTGTAAACTTCCATGTGGATGCAGGAAATTGAACCCAGGTCCTCTGGAAGAGCAGCCAATGTTCTTAACTGCTGAGCCATCTCTCCAGCCCCAACAGGACTTCTTGGCCAATAGGGAAAATATTTTCCCTCTGGCATAGATAAAAATGACTGTTAGAATTTAGCCAAGGTTGTGATGGAAAACTGTTCATTGGAAACTGTTTTAAATCAGTCAAGGTTTGAACAGTCCTTCTAGGTTAGTGATTTGCTTTCGCTGCAGTGGTTTTGAGGCAGCGTAGTCTCCTCAGAGCTTCCTTATAGTGTACACAGCAGGTGAGCTAGCAGGAGAGCAATCTGGCTGGTTTGTTGGATGGGGTGATATTTTGTATATACTCTAACAAATAAAGCTTGCAGGGGCTGGAGAGATGGCTCAGTGGTTGGGAGTGCTGGCTGCTCTTCCAGAGGATCTGGGTTCAAGTCCCAGCACCTACATGGCAGCTCACAACTGTCTATAACTCCTGTTTCAGGGAATCTGACACCCTCACACAGACATACATATAGGCAGAACACCAATGTATATAAAATACAAATAAATAATTAAAAAACAAAAAACAAATAAAGCTGGCCTGAAGATCGGAGAAGCAGAGCAGTCAGCCACTAGTTAGCCACAGAGGCCAGGCAGTAGTGGCACACACCTTTAATCCCAGCACTTCAGAGGCAGAGGTGGAGGCAGACAGATCTCTGTGAGTTCAAGGACACCCTGGGCTACATAAGATGATTGATCCAGTCTAAAAGAGAAATAGAGCCAGGCAGTGGTGGCACACACCTTTGATCCCAGCACTTGGGATCTCATGCCTTTAATCCCAGCACTAGGAAGGTGGAAACAGGAAGTGATATGGCTGGGCAGAGAGAGGAATATAAGGTGGGAGAAGATAGGAGCTCCCTCTCTTTTCGGCTGAGGAGTTGGTGAGGTGAGAGGTAGTTGTGGCTTATTCCTTTGTCTCTCTGATCTTTCAGCATTGACCCTGATATCTGGCTCTGGGTTTTTTTTTTTTTTTTTTTTTTTTTTTTTTTTTTTTTTTTTTTTTTTTTTTTAAAGATTTATTTATTATGTATACAGCATGTGTGCCTGCAGGCCAGAAGAGGGCACCAGATCTCGTTACAGGTGGTTGTGAGCCACCATGTGGTTGCTGGGAATTGAACTCAGGACCTCTGGACGAGCAGTCAGTGCTCTTAACCTCTGAGCCATCTCCCCAGCCCCTGGGTTTTTATTAAGACCAATTAGGATTCATGCTACAGTTGGCTGATTGTCTCTACTAAAGAGAATGAGGAATTTGGGAATGGCCTAGTATCTTTTAAATCAGGAATTATATCACTCCAGTCTCTTAACATATTAGCTTATTTAAGCAAATAGTAAACATTAAAGAGTACCTATGATAAAAGTTTCTCACTAACATTAACAGTGATTTAAATGTACATTAGTTAGTGCTTTGATAATGTTTAACAGTGCTTTCTTTACTCTTAAACTCTCTTGGGAGACTTGGGTAACTTTACCTGAGGTTTAGTAATGTGGTTCACTTGCCAAGAAATATACTGCACATAGGCCAGTTCTGGAGAGCTGGGGAAGTTGGGAGGTAATTTTCTCCTTCTCTGGGCCTATTTCTCCTGGGAGGAGGAGTCTTGGATTGGGACCCGGGATTCCTCAGTCCTATCCTTATTGACCTTCTAGATTGAGCAGCTAGCCAACCCCAAGGCCTGGATCAATGCAGCCACGCAGATCTTCTTCTCATTGGGCTTAGGGTGTGGTGGCCTGATTGCCTTTGCCAGCTACAATGAACCCTCCAACAACTGCCAGAAGCATGCCATCATTGTGTCCATCATCAATAGTACTACTGCCATATTCTCCAGTATTGTGACCTTCTCCATCTATGGCTTCAAGGCCACCTTCAACTATGAAAACTGCTTAAACAAGTGAGTCTAAGTTGTCCCTCAAAACCTTGGGCCTCAAGTGAGAAGGCAAGGTTCCAAAGCTCTGAGCTGGAAGGGTAACTGGGAAGGACTGGGTTCCCAGAAGTCAAGGGGTAGACTAAAGACACCAGTGTTGAGGTCTACAGTTTGAGGTGAGGTTCTCTTCTCTCAACTACACAATTGCTGCCTTTTACCGGCACTAGAACTGACAGTCCAAAAAGTTAAGTCCTGCCTTGCAGGGAATAGGCAGTTTAAGGTGGTCATTGCACTTAGTAGAAGGGGCTTTCAGCAAAAAATGCCAATGTCTTTGGTCCCATTCCCCATCTCAAGTGTAACCAGGACCGCTCTAGTCTCAGAGACTACTGTCTTTGGCTTCCCTCAAAACAGAGGACCATCTTTCAGATGCTAAGATGTCCTGTGGTGGTATTTTACTTATACTGAAATGTGATTTTAATTGTATGTTAATAAATAAAGTTGTCTGGGGGTCAGAGCTATTAGAGTCATAGCAAGTGCGTGGCGGCGGTGGCGCACGCCTTTAAGGACCTGGAGGGCGGTACATTCAGGCAGTGACGAGGCAGTCACATGTTTGGGTTTACAACCAATGAGAAGGCAGAACAGGAAGACTTTAAAGACAGACACACAGGAAGTAGGTCTTTTTCGGAGAGCTCTCTTGGCTGGAGAGGATCCCTGAATCAGGAAGGGTGAGGCTCTTAGCTCTGACCTCTTGGTTTTCTTCTCTGAATTGGCTCTGTGTTTCTTATTTGATAAGACCGTTGGTTACATCTACAATGTCCAGTAGGGCAGTCACTTACACAAGTAGCTATCTCTAAACTAGGACTGAAATTCATGGAAGTCAATGTACATTCAAATAACTTGTATATTGATATGAATTTAAATTGAAGTGGGTTATTATTATATGAATTACATTATATGAATTATATTATATTAATAATGTTATATTATTATATGAATTTAAATTGAAGTAGGTTAATGACTCTAAGGTTAATTGGTTACTCAGTGGCACAAGTCATATTTAAGTACAATGTTACATTTCTACCACCCCATTCAGTTTCATCAGACATCACTGGCCCAGATATTAAACAGCCTCACTGTAAGGTCAGGGTTCTTGTCCTCATCTCTGTTCAGATCTGAAGCTTCTGCACAGACACTCATAGTTGCCCTTCCTTACAAAGGGTTATTAGTCCAGAGTCCCTCTCCTCACTGAGATTCTCAGAGTTGTTAGGGCCAGTGGCCCCTTAATCATGAAGGTCAAGATGGCGGTCTGCTCTGCAGGGTGATTCTGCTGCTGACCAATTCTTTTGACCTTGAAGATGGCTTTCTGACAGCCAGTAACCTGGAGGAGATGAAGGACTACCTGGCATCTACCTACCCAAGCAAGTACAGTGAAGTGTTCCCGCACATTAGAAACTGCAGCTTGGAATCAGAGTTGAACACGGTAAGAGGCCTGGAAAGGGTGGGGACTGCCTCTCTCCACAGTTCATAATGACCTGCAAGAGCCTTCACACAGTCCATGAAGACAGGAAACTGGATTGTTTTCCCTGCAACAGTGGTATGAGAAACTGGACTCCTGCTCTTCCAGCTGCTACTAGGAATCCTTTTCATTGGAAAGCTCCCCTAGCGTCTGAGTTTTCCCTCCTTTTCCTCATCTTTTTTGAAATTTTAAAAACTTGGGAAAGGCAGAGAAGTCTCTCTCTCTCTCTCTCTCTCTCTCTCTCTCTCTCTCTCTCTCTCTCTCTCTCTCTCACACACACACACACACACACACACACACAAAAAATAAATGCTATACTCCTCATTGAGTTGCATTCCCATGATTCCTATAGTTGGTTGAGGCAGGAGGAGTTTAATATGAGGTCACCCTGGGAGATATGGTGAGATTTTAAAGGAAAAAATGAAAGTCAAAGTCTCCTGTGTTACCTTCCCAACATTCTCTACTCACTCATAGGTAGGAACCTTGATTCTTACTACCATACATAGGCTAAGTGGCATCTATCTTAGCAGTGGTTTTAGAAGATAGTTTCTCAGTCAACAGTTTAATTTTGAGAAAGTTCCTAAATAATGTGGGTGGAATCGCACTCATTCTGTGTAATATCTTAATTGTTTTCATATAAATATACTCACCCCTCTTACTAAAGACTTTTTAAAAGATTTGTCATTCAAATCACTCTTGTTTTCCACAGAATTATTTCTGTTACACTAGGGGCTTTTAATTATTTTATTATTTTACTTTAAATTTAGCATTACTTTCACAAGTTTCATTGGGTTGAAATTCCTTAAGGGATTCTTAAGAAATTTTTATTAGAATTGTGTTAATTCTGTAAGGTAACTGCAGGGGTGGGGGTGGGGCGCTTAATATCACTTGACTTGTGGCTTTTGATGGAAGAGTTTTCTCTCATTTACTTAGGTGTCAAGAGCAAGAAAGTAGGTATGTGCAGTTGGTCTAACAAAAGTTGTATTTTATTATGCTGAAGGTCATTACACAAAATTCACACTCTTAAGTTCCTAACTACAGTCCTAAGCTTATCTCCCCAAGGCTGCTCACCTCTGCAACATATCTTAGCTGAAGATATGGGTCCAGTCTCATGGTAGTCTCTGGTTCAAGGGTCAGGATCCTGGGGGAGATTCTCCAGCCACAGGGCAAACCAAGGTGGCTTCTCTCCAGTGTCTCTAGCAGTTCTGAAAGTGTACAGAACACTACTTTGCTCTTGGTCTCTGCTTAAATACTGTAAGGAAGTGCTCGCTTCGGCAGCACATATACTAAATACTGTAAGGTGGGCATTGTGGAGTTCTAATGATGCGTCTGGTTATCTTAAGTGATGTCATTAGGTTCTGGTTATCAGGTGCAGCCTTGGGGTTCTTGACTAAGCTAGTTTTACATGTCTAAAAGGCATTTTAAAAACTATGCTTATCAGATTAGGCCTTTCATATCATCCAACTACATTTTTCCATGACTATCTTAGAATATTTTTATTATACTTAGATTGCCTAATTATTTCTCTTTAAATAGTGTCTTTCCTATTTCTGCCACCTATTTTTATTGCAAAAGAAAGATAAAGTTCTGGTTAGAAGTCTCAATGAATTCCCATATTTGTATGTGTCTTAATTTTCTTTTGCTGTGAAGAGACACCATGACCAACACAATTTGTAAATGAGTTCATTGAGGCTCACAGTTCCAGAACGTTAAGAGTCTATGATTAAAAATGGAAGGGTGCACAGTAGCAGGCAGGCAGGCATGGCACAGGAGCAACAGCCGAGAGCTTCCATCTTGATCTACAGGCAAAAGGCAGGAAAGACAGAGAGAGCCCTAACTGGGAATGGCCCACCCCCAGTGGCACACCTCTTCCCATGAGGCCACATCTCTCAGTTCTTCACAAATAATTCCACCAACTGGAGACCAAGCATTCAAATATATGAGCCTCTGGGGGCCATTCTCATCCATTCTGTATTCCCTTTTCTCTCCTTTTATGTCAGGAAACAGAGGAAATGCTCCAAAGACATGTCCTGCTCAAGAGCATGGGGCCCAAGCAACCACGGACTGTGAACCCTTCCAATCTGTGAGGCAAAGTAAATCTTCCCTCCCTTCAGTTCTGTCAGTGATTTTGCTCACAGTTAAGAAAAGTAACATAGTAGTTTCCATAAACAGAACAAACAAAACATATTCATAATATTGTAGTAGAATGAGAATGGCCCTCATAGGCTCACATATTTGAATGTTTAGCTCCAGTTGGTGGAACTGCTTGAGAAGGAGGTATGGTTTTATTGGAAGTGTGTCACTGGGAGCAGGCTTTGAGGTTTCAAAACTGCATGCCATTCCCAGTTTGCTGTTGCTATGATTGATTGATAGATAAATAAAACGCTGATTGGCCAGTAGCCAGGCAGGAAGGATAGTGTGTAGGTGAGACAAGGAGAGAGGAGAATGCTGGGTGGAAGAAGGCAGAGTCAGGAGTCACCAGCCGCCAACATGTAAGATACGGGTAAGCCACGAGCCATGTAGCAAGGTATAGATTTATAGAAATGGGTTAATTTAAAGATATGAGAACTAGATAACAAGAAGCCTGCCACGGCCAGTTTATAAGTAATATAAGCATCTGAGTGATTATTTTATAAGTGGGCTGCAGGACTGCAGGGGTGGGGGGTGTTGGTGGGACATGGAGAGAAACTCTCCAGCTACAGTTTGCTGTCTGCTAAATCCTTCTGCATCAAGATGTTAGCTGTTAGCTACTGCTCCAGCACTATGCCTGCCTGCTTGCTGCCATGATAGTCATAGACCCTAACTCTCTGGAACTGTAAACTCCAAATTAAATACTTTCTTTTATAAGTTGCCTTGATCATGGTGTTATGTCACAATAGAAAAACAACTTAAGACTTTTGGTACTATGGAGTAGGCTGTTGTGAAAGGATTGGCCATAGTGGTTTGTTTGTTTTTTGAGGAATGTGGAAAACTGTGGAACTTTGGACTAAGAAAATGGTTGAACTTTGTAAGAAAGTGGGGCTCAATGGGCCATCCCAATAGGAACATGAAAGACAAATAGTGCTGAGATCAATGTGGTCCATGGAGACCCAGCTCAAGAGGTGTCAGAGGGGAACAGTATTAGTAACTGGGCTAGAGATCATTCTTTTTTTTTTTCCAACATGTAAACTTTTATTAAAAAATAAAAATGAAATTCTTAAAAATTTAAAAACCATCAAAGGTGTATTGAGAAAAACCAGACTTTAAAACACACATGCACACATGTCATTACCAAAAAGAGACATCTTTAGGTAAAAATAATAAAAACCCCATGCTGTGTAGATAATGCAGATAGTTCTAGTGTATCTGGTCAACGGGCAAAAAGCAAGCACTTAAGGTCTTCAGCTCCAATCTTTATTTCTTATTGCTGGAATTTCATATTCATTTCTTCTTGTTGGATGACCAAACCCGATGATGGTAGAGATGGTAAGCCAGCATTTACTCAGCCTCGCCCTGCTCAGCCTCAGAAGCAGACGAATTCTCAGCTGTGGTTTAAGGTTGAAGTTGTGGCGGCGGTACTGACGCTGAGGTGGCTGCTGACCTTGGGTCTCGCCTCCTTGATTTTCCTTGTCCTCTTCATTGCCATCCTCTCTAGGCTGTCTTTGGTGAGGAGGGCCCCTGCAGAATTGTGGTCTGTAACCCCGATACACATTCTCTCACTGGTCTACCTTGCTCTCTCATACCCCAGTTGTCAGCACCCTCCATCACTTCTCCTTGCACAGGAGGGTTGGAATACTGTGGCCGATGCCCATAGGGTCTCAAGTAGTAAGGTGGGAACCTTAGCCTGCTATAGGGCTGGCGTGTTGGGCTTGGCCTTCAGGAGCGCTTTCCAATCCCTCATTCTTTTCCCCACTCTCACTATTCTGATAATTTTGCTGGTAATTGCATGGAGGACCCCTACGACATGGATAACATCTATAATGCTTATGGTCTGCTGCGTATTTACTGCCTTGAACTGGAACTCCACCAGGGCCTGTAACATTTGGTGTACAAATACGTCTTCCTTGTGTCATTCCTATTGATGAAACTGTATCTGTTCCTTACATTGAACCATTTTACTCTTCCCAAAACCTTGGTTGCGATGACCTTCATGAGGCTGCCCCGGCCGCCACTCCACACCCATAGAGCCCTCTGAAATAATTCTTAATAAAGGTTATATCTTTTTCATTTGCAAGAGACAATAAATTCAAGAGTCACTGCCTCAGGCCAATCTTGAATGACACACATATCTTTTATTATTTAAAGTTGTATGCATCCTTATAATCAGCACCATTGGCATGCCATTAAGCTGATCTGTATTATATCTATCAGGAGATTGGGTGGCTAAACCAACAGATACTTATTTCTCATACTTCTGAAGATTGGTTTCTAGTGAAGGTTTGCTTCCAGATCAGTGATTATCACTCTGTTGTCTTACAGGACTAGGATGCTACTTTTTAAGCCTTATTTAGTGACACCCCCCCCCCCAAAGGCCTTGTTTGAATGTAGTCACTTTGAGGGTAGAAGTTTCAACATTAAGAATTCAGTCCAGCCAGTGGTGGTGGCTCATGCCTTAAATCCCAGCACTCAGGAGGCAGGCAGATCTGAGTTCAAGGCCAGCCTGGTCTACAGAGTGAGTTTCAAGACAGCCAGGGCTGTTACACAGAGAAACCCCAGCTCAAAAAACCAAACAAAAAAATCCATAGCACTTCTGAATCTGACAAATATATTCCATCCTTAGGGATGTTCTAGATGTTTGTCATTCTTGCTCATGGTGACTCACTTGCCTGAGGCTTTGTAAACCCTTATATGTGAATTTATGGCTTTATTTCTAGCAGTCCTGTGGGTAGTCTAAACCCACCTGAGTCTCACCCACTCAGGAGCCTTCACTGGTGTCAAAAGGGATTTGACTTTAAGTAGAACTAGTAGGCTTGGGGCTGAGAGATGGCTCAGAGGTTAAGAGCACTGGCTGCTCTGCCAGAGGTTCTGAGTTCAATTCCCAGCAACCACATGGTGACTTACATCTATCTATAATAGAATCTGATGCCCTCTTCTGGCATGCAGGTATACATGCAGAGAACTCACACATAAAATATACATTAATAAAAAGCAGGTCACCAACATAGGCATGTGGCCACCAAGCAACCCTGCCAAAGTATCCCCACATTTCCTCATTCCTGGCATTGGAAACAAAGATCCAAATACGATTTTGATTTTGTAATATTTTATCTAAAATGTAAGTTGGGGCATGAAGGGGAATGCAGGGTTCTGTACTGACAGAAAGCTCATCACATTTTGTGTATGTTCTAGTCAGCCAGGTGAGCCTCAGGAGCTGAGGTAAAGAACAGATTCATTATGTGGCCAGCTCCAAGGTGGCAACATTGAACATGTATAAAAAGACTATCAAGGTATGTAACTAGTATCATTTTAATACTTGCAGGCTGTCCAGGGCACAGGCCTGGCCTTTATTGTCTACACTGAAGCCATTAAAAACATGGATGTGTCCCAGCTGTGGTCAGTGCTCTACTTCTTCATGCTGCTGACGATGGGTATGGGAAGCATGGTAGGGACAGGAACGGCCATCCTCACCGCTCTGACTGACAGCAAGGTCATCTCTAGCTACCTGCCCAAGGAGGCCATTTCAGGTCAGGACACCAGGCAGTGGAGGCAGGGCTTGGGTGGGTAGGGAAATACAAAACAAATAGTGGAGAGGCTTCCTCAGGAGCCATGTGCTTCTAAAGAAACTCCAGAAGGGCTGAAGGAGTCTAGCTGCATTCCTGCTACAGTGTGCTACTCAGTCCTAGGAGCTAGACTAAGAACTCACCATCCCAGGAAAATGAGGCAGTCAGCCTACCCTTGGGAAGAGGTGACAACTCCCCAGCCTGCACGTAAAGGTCTCCAGTCTTTGAGAGCCTACATCTGTCTTTGTTTTAATCGAAGGATAACGGTTATCAACTGTCCATTTCCTAAGGTGAGCCTATGACCTGTTTCCACACCAGAAGGAGCTCCTTCAACATGTTCTCCAGGCAATAAGTACCCAATAGATCACCATGTTCTGACTTCTAATGCTACTAGTTTTTGTCTGTTCCTGAAAGTTAATGGAAAGGATACTCTGGACCTGCTGTTGACATTCAAAACCTGTCAGTGAGCAGCACTATGCGGCTGTTAGCAGCAGTTGTCAGTCCCTGATCCTGTCTGATACATCATTGTAAAAGCACATATCACTTCTTGATGCATTTTGACTGTAAGGCTATTAGCAAAGGAACTAGCCTTTCCCATAACAGCTACTCATTAACTTCACTATCATCCTGCCCGAGGGTCATGAGGACTTTATAGCCAGCCACCTCTACCTCTGATAATTCCATAACTCCACATCCAGGATGAGTAAAACAAAGCTCCATCTAGTCTTCATGTTCTGAAAACCCACTGGAAGCTATTGCCACCCTCTTAACTCAGCACTTGGCATCCTCCCTGAGCTGACATCCCCTGCAGAGCAGCTCCTACAGCTCATGTGGGCAAGCCAATCCTTCAAAGTACACATATGACCTGTGGCTCCTGCTCAATATAACATGGGACGAGAGGTAGGGAGATCAACAGTAATCTTGTGTTCCAGGTCTGGTGTGCCTCATCAACTGTGCCATTGGCATGGTGTTCACCATGGAGGCTGGGAACTACTGGTTTGACATATTCAATGACTATGCAGCCACGCTGTCCCTGCTGTTCATTGTGCTGGTGGAGACCATAGCTGTATGCTATGTATATGGGCTAAAGAGGTAAGGAGACCCCAGACCCCGCCTTCTACGTGGGGCAGATAAGCTGCAGGGCCACACATAAGAAAATGATCCCTCTTTAATAGGCACATTCCTTATAGAGGCTTCTTTGCCCTCAGACTTCAGCTGTCTCTTGCTTTCTGTTTGCCTGTATCCAACAGCTTCTTTCCATTTTCCACTTTTTATTATGGCATATTTTCTGGTCAAGGACTCAGCCTCCACGCCTAGATACTCTGATCATCCACCAGCATTAGGGCTTCCAAGAACCCTGGTCAAAGTCTAGTTTGAAATTTTGGCTTAATAGATGTCAGATTTCTACCCTGGTTCCCTGTCCAACACTGTCCATCAGCCTTCCAGGTGATGGAATGTGCATCTGGGGCCCAATGAAATGAGGATTACAGGACCTCCTTCATTTGGTATCTGGCTAAAGTCTGGGACAAAGTACAATAATTGATATTTCTAGCACTTTCCTTGGTGTTCTGAGGACCACCTGTCTGAGAACCACCAGTCTAGGACCTTGCTTTTTTAGTCATCCTGCAAGGAGGGGAAGAAAGAGTCCTTCAAGACTTACCTGCTCCCCCATGCCAAGGCCAAGCCCTTCCAAGCACAAAGAGACTGCTCTGAGACCATCTGTAGGAGGCAGTAGAGAATACTTGGAACCATCACTAATGGACAGAGTGGGCAGGCAGAGAGGCAATGTCACCCTAGCCTTGTGGACTGAGAGGACTGGCATTTCCCTCCCCCATGCACCCTGACCCCACCTTCTCTGGGAACTAGCCTCTGGTCCACATCTGGGGACCTCTGAAGGCCAACACCAGGGAGGTATCCCATGACCCATTCTTTATTGGTCATCCTCCCTCAGGCAGCTTCAGCCCATTTCCCTTCACCTCAATACCTCCCCCAGGAAAGGATCGGATGGGTTCAAGGGCACATTCAAACATCATTAATAACCAGAACAGCATCTTCCTAAGGGCAGAGGGTATGCAAACTAGAGCCCCTCCCTCCAGAACATGAATAAACCTAGGCTCTCTCCTTGTGGTCCAAACAGATTTGAAAGTGACCTTCAGGCCATGACTGGCCGCACCCTCAACTGGTACTGGAAGGCCATGTGGGCGTTTGTGAATCCACTGCTCATCATCAGCCTCTTTGCCTTCTACCTCAGTGACTATGTCCTCACAGGAACGCTACAGTACCAAGCCTGGGATGCTGCTCAGGTACCTGATGTTTCTGTGGGGATGGGAAATAAGGGCAGAGCCCATGAGGTCACTTCAGAACACAGAACCATTACGGTAGTGTGGGAAGGTTACAGGTGACAGCATGAGAAACATCAAGATGTTTCACAGATGCTCAGTCTAGTACAGCAGAACTGGGCTGTGAGTTTTTAACCATGATGCATGGAGAGAGTAAGAGTCACCCACAGCATCCCAGTGGATCTTTCCCTTGATGGTGAGGACACCCTTGGAGAGGTGCTGGTTCTTCCTTCAAAGGAGCTTTACATGTTGAAATGGCTCTAGGGATAAGAGAGAAAAGGTAAGAGTGTTTTCAGTGCAGGCTTGCTGTCACGTGACGTGCTGGTCTACAGGCCCATTTATCCAAATGTTACTTTATTATAACACTGACCAAAACCCTGGCATAATGCAGGGGAAAGACTTGGGTCATAGTTTCAGAGGGGTCACTTTTTTGGCTTGGGCAGAGTATCACTGTAAAAGGAGTATGAGGTAGAGGTTTTTCTTCACTCCCTGATGGCTAGAAAACAGAGTGGAATCCTCCAGAGACCGACTGGATAACCCAAGGAACAGCCCCTGCCCCCAATTTCCTACTTTCTCAGCTATCTCCTACTTCCTCAAGTAAAACCACATAGCTAGAGAAGGTAGGCACCTGAGTTTGTGGGGGAAGTATTTCATGTTCAAATGTTCAAACCTAAACATCAACTCACATAATTTCTCTTCCTATTTTGGAATGGAGGCTGGAGTGAAGTCTTATGACTAGTGAAGGTTTCTCCTCTCTCTCTTGCAGGGCCATGTGGTGACCAAGGATTACCCCACATATGCACTAGCTGTCATTGGGCTTCTGGTAGCCTCCTCTACCATGTGCATCCCTCTGGTAGCCCTGGGGACTTTTGTCACACGCCACTTCAAGAGCAGAGCAAACCTTCCTATGGCCTGAAAAGTAGACAATGTAGACCCACTGTTAGTCACTCATTGTTTCATAGCTACTCCTACAGAAGACATTCTTCAGTTACTTTTTAAAGCCAGGAGTACCTTCTGCTTCCTGAATCTGCAAAGAAAATTTAATTCTCTGTATCACAGGCTGTTATAAATCTAACTTTGGCCATAAATACTACAGGCTTTATTTTCTATCTTCCATAATGTATACTTTTGTTGCCAGAATTTATACCCTTTTGTGTTATATTTTCAACTCATAGTATTCTCATCACTTAGACTTTTAGCTTTCATTCTAGAGATAACAAATATTTACATACCACCATTACAGTAATGAGATACTGGATTACAAATTTACCTCTATCATTGCTTTTTTTGTTGCGACGGAGTCTTGGTCTGTATGTACCCCAGGTTGAGTCTGCACCTATGCATCTTAGAATAGGCTAGAATCTGATCCTCCAGTCACAGCCTCCCCATGCTGACACAAATGGCCATGTGCCACCAAGCCAGGCATATACTTTTATAACAGTAATTATCCTTTTGTTTCTGTTTGAACCATTCCTTAGCAAAGTGAATGGGGAGGGAGTAGGTAGGAGATTCAAGAAACAGTCAGTGCTAGACTGGGCTCAAATACACAATCCTCTTACTTCACCTCCACCCCAGTGCTTGGATTACAGCCATGGCCTACCACACCTGACCTTTCAGTATTTCTTGAAGGCTATTTTAATGATTAATTTCTTCTGCTTTTTCTTGTCTAGAAAAGTGTTTTGCTTCATCACTGAAGTGTAACTTTACTGGATATGGTATTCTTGACTGGTGGGTTTCTTTCTTTGAGCAGTTTGAATGTATTGATAATTCCATTTATTTATAGTCTAATGGATATCCCCTTATATGTGACTTAACTCTTGCGCCTTGGTAATAGAGGAGGGGGAAAATAATGAGCTGTAGAACAAGCAATATGAAACAGAAGTGTAGGATGAAAATCTAGAGAGCACAATATATAACAATAAAACCATATTGAGATTTTTTTAAAACTAAATCTGATTTTACTCTTAACAAAAACAAACTGTGTGAGATGATGCAGTAATCTGCTCTAGTGTACTTTACTTTTACTGCATATCCCCTAATACTATGTTGTAAACCTCAAATATGATAAATTTTATTTTTAAAAAAATGAGGTGTGTGTGGTGATGTTTTGTTTGTGATCTAAAAAATAAAGCTTGCCTGAAGATCAGAGTGCAGAGCTAAGCCACTAGTTAGCCACAGAGGCCGGCACACACCTTTAATCCCAGCACTTGGGAGGTAGAGGCAGAGGGATCTCTGTGAGTTCAAGGCCACCCTGGGCTGGTTACACAAGACTGATCCAGTCTAAAAGAGAAACAGAGCCAAGCAGTGGTGGCACACACCTTTAATCCCAGCACTTGGGAGGAGGAAGCAGAAAGATCAGGAGTTCAAGGTCATTCTGGGCTACATGAGATTTATCCCATGTCTCTAATCCCTGCAATAAGGAGGTGGAGATAGGAAGTGATATGGCTGGGCAAAGAGAGGACAATAATGTGGGAGGAGACAGGAGCTCAACCCCTTTTCAGGCTGAGGAGTTGGCGAGTTAAGTGGTGACTGTGACTAGCTACTTCTCTGAATTTTCAGCATTTACCCCTATATCTGACTCCAGGTTTTTATTATTAAGACCAATTAGGATTTGCACTACAGGTGTGAGGAGATGAAGTCCTTGGAAACATACATCCCTCACAAGGACCTTCCTCCATGTGCACCCTTCTTTTCATCACTGGATACTAGCTTTAAAGGTCAGTCTTGAAGATAATTGTATGTCTTAGAAGACTTGCACTTCAATGTAACTGTCTTTCTTAGGAGACCAAATCTGTGCACTCTCTTACTGACAAGACACCCACATGTTACAGGGTGACTGCTTTTTTTTTTTTTTTTCTTCGAGACAGGGTTTCTCTGTGTAGCTTTGCGCCTTTCCTGGAACTCGCTTTGGAGACCAGGCTGGCCTCGAACTCACAGAGATCCGCCTGGCTCTGCCTCCCGAGTGCTAGGATTAAAGGCGTGCGCCACCAACGCCCGGCTAGGGTGACTGCTTTTAATCAGTTAAAGTTTTTAGGTACATGAGATGATGAATGAAATATCAGAAGGCATTAAACCTTTTAGTTACTTGTCATATCTGCATTTAGCTGGCATTCTTCAAGCACATGCACACTCGTGTGTGTACAACAACTCTTAATTGAGAATTGAATAGACTGGCCTTGGAGTTGAAAATCACAAACTCTAGAGTACTCACACTACCCTAGCCTTGCCCACAATGAATTCCCCAAGAAAATCATGTGATGTTCAATGAATAAGATTACACTGGCTGAAAAACTTGGTGCTGCTGTTGTATAGCATATACCCTCTCTATGAGTCCCTTTTCAAACCTCTCAAAGTCCTACAGTTTAGACAACATTTTAACTTTATTTTAACCAATGTCTCTGACAGTTCTTGTCACAGATCCCTGGATTTAAAAAGAAAAAAATGTGTAAGAAAGTTCATATTAATCCAGTGCACTTAGACAAAGTGAATTCTGACAAGGGTTTCGCTCAACAGTCTGAGGAAGCTGGAAGACTCATGAGAGGCCCAAGATGTGGCTACAACAAGAAAGGCTCTCAGCAATGACAACATACATGAACAGAAGAGAAAGCCCCCCAGACACTTACACACAGAGGAAAACTCGGCATTCAAATCAGCAGGGGAGGGCTACAACATTCTCAGTAAGCAGCTAAGCTTAATGACATTCTGTTCTGCACTGCCCCTCAAGGGTAGGAGAACATTCCCTGGCCTCAGTTAACTTCTGATTTGGTCATTTTTATCACTTTTGACCAATGAAATATGAGCAAGAGAGGTTGTCATTTCTGAGCAGAGGCTTCTCTTCCTTCTGTTTGAAAAGAGGCTAGCATCATCACTGAGAGAGCCAAAGTAGAGCCAAGGAGCAGAGCTGCAGCCAACTGCAGAGGGTACAGGAAAGAGGAAAAAAAAACCTTTTAAATTAACAAACAAAAACCAGTTGGCCTCTCAATTGACAGTCTATAACCCCAAATTGACTATGGATAGAATGCGACCTAAAAGTGACAGCTGTCAAAACTTGCCCTTGGAGGGGTATTGTGTACCCTAATAAACTTATCTGGGGTCAGGGAACAGAAAAGCCACTAGATACTTAGGTTAGGCAGTGGTAGCACACGCCTTTAATCCTAGCATTCCAGAGACAGAAATCCCTCGATCTCTGTGAGTTCAAGGCCACATTGGAAACAGCCAGGCATGGTGACACATGCCTTTAATCCCAAGAAGTGAGCCTTTAATCCCAGGGAGTGATGGCAGATAGCAGAAAGGTATATAAGGTGTGAAGACCAGGAACTAGAAGCATTTGGCTGGTTAAGCTTTCAGGCTTTGAGCAGCACAGTTCAGCTGAGATCCATTCTGGATGAGGACTCAAGCTTCCAGTCTGAGGAAACAGAATCAGCTAAGAAGTCGGCCAGGTGAGGTTAGCTATGGCTTGTTCTGTCTCTCTGATCTTCCAGTGTTCACCCCAATACCTGGCTCAGGTTTGATTTTATTAATAAGAACTTTTAAGATCCCTGCTACACACAGAAGGTGCTAGGAAAGCAATATGGTCATTCACTGTATCAGAGAACAGGAAGACAAGCTACAACTAACAAATGATTCCCTTCCAGAACACAATTTCAACAAATCCATAGGAACAAAAGACCACAACAGGTTCCAAACAAGACCTACAGACAATTAAAACCAAAACCATGAAAAGATGTTCAATTCTCAGAGAAATGCCAGAATGAGATGCTATTTCATACTGCACTGACAAAAAGTGTATTATGATAGCATCCCAGGAATATATGTACTGTAACACAAACAACAATTAAAAGAGACATGGATTCCAGATATAACCACTTATGAGGACTGAGTTCAAAGGATCCATAAATATGCCTTCACAAAAATTTTATAAAATTCAAACAAACAAAAAAAACAACCACCCACAACAAAAAAGATGAAAGAAAAACAGATATGCTGGAATAGGCTCATAATCTCAGCACTTAGGAGGCAGGAGAATAACAGGTTTGGAGACAATCTGGACTACATAGTGAGACACTATCTTAAACAAGAACTACGAAAATAAAAAGGGGGTGGAGGGCTAGAGCAATGGCTCATGAGTGACAACACTTACTATGCAAGCATGAGGACCAGAGACTGCATCGCAGTGGTCATAGATGTAACTGTCACTCCAGTGAGAGACCCTGTCTCAGGAAGAAAGTGGAAGGTGATAGCAGGCCACCTCACATCCTTCTCTGGCCCCCTTCTGTAGCAGGAATCTTAAAAGTTCTTATCAATAAAAACAAACCTGGAGCCAGATATTGCGGTGAATGCTGGAAGATCAGAGAAGCAGAACAAGCCACAGCTACCTCAACCTCGCCAGTTCCTCAGCTGATCCTGTTTCCTCAGACTGGATGCCTCTTAGCTGAACTGTGCTGCTCAAAAGTCTGAATGCTTAACCAGCTAAAGCTTCTAGTTTCTGGTCCTCACGCCTTATATACCTTTCTGCTTTCTGCCATCACTCCCTGGGATTAAAGGCTCACTTTCTGGGATTAAAGGCATGAGTCAGCCGGGCGGTGGTGGCGCACGCCTTTAATCCCAGCACTCGGGAGGCAGAGGAAGGCGGATCTCTGTGAGTTCAAGGCCAGCTTGGGCTACCAAGTGAGTTCCAGGAAAGGCGCAAAGGTACACAGAGAAACCCTGTCTCGAAAAACCAAAAAAAAAAAAAAAAAAAAAAAAAAAAAGGCGCGAGTCACCATGCTTGGCTGTATCCTTGAACACACAGAGATCCAGATAGATCTCAGCCTCTGGAATGCTAGGATTAAAGGCGTGTGCTACCACTGCCTGTACTCTATGTTTAATATTGTGGCTGTTCTGTTCTGTGACCCCAGATAAGTTTATTAGCGTGCACAATATTTTGGGGAACACAATACCACCACACCCTTCTGTATACACATAAGGTACATGCACACATATACATAATCACACACAAAGGGAAGCTAGAGCTGGACAGATGACTCAGTGGGTAAGGGTACTTGCTACTCTTGCAATGGATCCAGATTTAGTTCCCAGCACCCACATGGCCACAACTGTCCCTAACTCCAGGTACTCCAACACACTCTTTTAGACTCTGTAGGTACCAGGCATGCATATGGAGCACATACGTGCAGGTAACACACAAAATAAAAAATTGGGGGGAGGGAGTGCACTAGTGCTCATCTCAGTGAGAAGGCCATGGCAAGTCAAGGCCAGCAGCCTACGGCATTCCAGCAAACCCTTTCTCCAGTCTCTCTTTTGAGCTAACCTGCTATGCAGCATTAAATCAGCTCACCTCTGTCCTGGTCAAGTTCCACCTTCTCCAAAAAGCCTCAATTACTTCCAACTTACTAGTCCTCTACTTCCCTGGTATTCTACTGACCATAGGTTATATGTTTCCTATACCCTCCCAAAAGATCACCATCTCCTGGTACTTATGTTTATGTGTAATCTCTTCCCCTTGAATGAGCCAGAGCCACTGACTTCTAGTGCAAAGGATACAGTAAACGTGAAGGGTAACACTTTCATCTTGATTGCAGACTCAACATTGTTGGCTATGATGTAAAAATTGTCTGAAGAGAATGAATGGCTTTCAGTCCAGAGTCAGCATGGATGTTCAAACCAACAAGCATGGGAGGAACTGAATCATGAAAGTGGATCCTGCCTGCTTTCAGTAGAATCTTAAATATGGCCTTGTGGAATGCCCTGAAGCAGAGAAACTGAGACAATAAGTACAAGTAATCATGGACTACTTCAAGCCACTAAGTGTGGGAACAACTTGTTACAGTGATAGGTTAACTAACATGAGGAGGCCATTCAGAACTGGTCTCTCTTCTCTCACAGTGAACGAACAGTACATTCAAATTACCTACCACAATTTGTTGAAGTTACTTCACTAAGAACCTGGGGAAATTAAGGAAATATGGAAATAAATCTTTAAAGCATTAAAGCATCCACACACATATTATATAGATATGAAAATATTGTACATATGTACAAAGCATACACACATATATGTAGATGTGTAAACATATGTACATTGTGTGTACATATCTTGGTTGCCATTTTCAAGGAAATTCATCTCACTTCCCACATAAGCAAGGACTTCCTAAATCAAGGTGTTTACTCATTATTTCCTTAGGCTCATGTATCACAAGCAGGCTTCAAACTCACTGTGTAGCTGAGGATAACGATCTGATTTTCCTACCTCCACCTCCCACATGCTGGGATTACAGGTGTGGGCCACCATGCCAGGTCTTAGAGTCCTGGGGATCGCACCCAGGGTTTCATGTATACTAGGTAAGTGCTCTACCAACAGGGCTACATCCTCAGCCCTGAAAATACTTTTCAGTATGTACTATTTTCCCATTCATCAGTTGCAACCTGTATTATTTATCCACCCATACTTCCTTATCACCCTGCAACCTATATCACTTTGAAGCAAATTATAACTTGGAATTATAATTGGAAGTATAATTATAATTTGGAATATAAAATGGACATTAAACCTCAGTAAATGTTATATATTACTAAATGTTGCCTTAGCTTTAGCTATAAAAAATGTTAAATATATAAAAATGTCTTAGGTGATCATCACTGGTAAAGTTTAGATGCTATTGGTTTTCTTGTTTACTTATGACTAGTATTTCCATAATGATCAAACATTGCTTTAAGACAGAAAAATACCACCTCTGATAAAAATACAGAACAACACCAACAGTAATTAGAAAAGAATATGGCATTTTATTTTTGCATATGGATGTACAGTACATGAATTAAAATCACTGCAGGGCTCTGAAACATTGATCATTTGCAGCCTAACCCACTGACATTAGTCCTTGTAAAGTAGCCACATTAGAGGTTCAGATTTGGTGTCTGCTGTAGCTGTTGACATGAAGTGCTTACTGTGAAATGCCCAGTAACATTTGAATAATACACTATAGTAGACATAGGCTGGGCTTCAATATTCCATCTTTGGAACAAATTATGCTTATTTACATGTCAGAATAGGTGGCTCTATTTACTTATCCTACTATGAGTTTTAATGACTGATTTTAAGCTACACAGGATTTTCCCCGAGTTTCTAAAAGCAATAACTCTTATTGTTTATAAAAGATAATGTTGAAAAAAGGTAATGTTAAAATAAAGGCGCTTTTAGAAATATTTAAGGACAACATAAGGTATTACTATTAGAAAAAAACTCTACATATTTTTAAGCAAAACACTGATGTACCATAGCAGTGTTTAACTGAATTGTTTTAAGATAGTGTAATGATACTACCTTATATATTGTTCTAATATCTAAACCTCATAATTACAATTTTAATATATAACCTGCCTTACAATTACAACTATGCACAGCTTCTGAAGCGCAGTTTTCAGTCTGTTTTATGCATAAACTAAAGTTGGTCCTTGATTTGGAGAACTATGGCTACCTGGAAGCACTAAATTTCAGACACTTATTGACAGCCAACGAAAACCTTGACTTGACAAAGTGATAAAGCAAGAGTACCATGCATGGAAAAGCAGTTACTACCCCAAGTGTGAATCAAATCTAGCACAAGACCTTCTCTGAGGTCTGCATGTCTCAATGAGTAACCAAAAAAAAAAAAGGGGGGGGTTCCCACAAGATATGGGAGGAAGCAGCTGGCCAGTCTAGTGTATGTTCCACAATAGAGCAGTTCTTAAAAAGAGGCAACTTTGGACCCTTAGCATAAGAGACAGACTTTACATTCTTTGATTTCATTTACACCTTTTAAAAAAGATAAAATATATCTGAACTTTTCATGACATTTAAGCTGCTGGGGCATTAAAGTAGCTCAAGCTGGCTGAAGCCAAGAGGCAGCTACTAGAAACTTCAAACAACTAGATCCCATTCTCCTCTTCCTTCCTGTGAAATTACAACTTATCAAACTACTTGATACCTGTAAGAGACATTCTATAAACACAGTAGGATTAGCATATTATTAAACTTCTAAGAAAAGTCCAAAGATATATGGAAAATATGCTTGCTAACAGTGGCTGCTTTACAATGACAATAATGAAACAGAGCTAGAAAAATAATTTTACTGTCTTAAATAATGAAAGAAGTTAAATTTTTAAAATATATTACTTATCTGTGAACTTCTGATTAACTTGACAGTGAATAGATTTCTTCTGATCTGTGAGCTGAATTTAAGCTACATTTGAATTACAGTACAGCTTCAAATTATAAATATAACCATCCCAACAGTAAAGAGATCATCAAAGCAGTAATATAGATCAATCCTAAGCCATCACCCAGCCCAGACCGCGAGAGGTGCTTTTGGATAAATGCTCTAAGAAGACCTTGGGACTGATGTGGAAAGCAGGTCAGTAAAGACTCCAGTTCTGCATCATGGAGTCTTCCAAGCCAAGCCGCTTTCCACAAACACAAATTCAGTCTATCTTTTCTTTCTGGACCAATCTAGGAGCATCAACAAAATCTTTGCCATTGTAAAGAATAATAAAAAATGTTCCAATGCTTGCAACTCCCCAGAAGAGGACATACGCCAGTGTTTCTGTCCAAGTGTCACCTGTTGATATTAAAAAGAGATAATGCATCATTTGTTGATGCCAGATCTAGTTGTTAGTTGTACAGTACAACATCACACTAAAGTTTACTAACACGTCCACAGGAAAAAAATATAAGAACCTCTTAAGGTTTAAACCATGGGTCTTAACTCTTCAAGGCTTGATAAACCATCAGCTGTGAAACCCTAAGAACTTGTTGCCTCTGTGACAAGTTCCCAGAAATACTGAGGCCACACTGTTAGAACTGGACTACTCTCTTTCAAACTACCACATAAATCATAATTATCATTGAGACTAAATGCTTTACTAGCACAAGAAACTACTAACAGCTTAATTAATCATAGTTCTATGATCAATGTGATATCAAAATACCTATAAAAACACATGCTACAGAATGTATATTTTAATAAAGTTACATGTTTAAATTAACTGTATAAACCATAACATATTTTAACTGCATTTAACACAACTCTACTGGTTGAGTTTATAAAGGATAGCAGCACCCATGGAGCAAAGACCTATTTTGTTTTTCTCTTTGAAGAGCTGAGCCTTGGCTCACTTCCCTGCTGCATCTGCTGGCCTCAACTGTAGAGAAACACATGTAGTCAAATGGCAGTAAGATCATTCAAGGGAAGGATGCCACTTCTAGACTTCCTACCACATCAGAGGTTGTATTGCATTTATGTTCCCTCTTGAAAACCACAGCAAGGGCTGGAAATCAGCTACCCCCTATCACCATGCATTACCTAACAGGTACTATCCACAGCATTCAATATTTTTTTTTTTTACTTAAAAATATTCCTAAATTTGCGACATTATCAATTTTCATAGCTGAGTCTTAAAAGTTGTTGGGCAGAAGGCAAGTTATTGTTTGTTTGAGGATTTGTCCTAGTTTGATTTCTACTGCTGTGATAAATATCATAACCAAAAGAACCTGGGAAAGCAAAGGCTTTATCTGGCCTACACTTTACAGTCCATCACTGAAGGAAGCCAGGACAGAACTCAAGGCAGAAACCTAGAGGTAGGAATTGAAACAGACACCATGGAGGAATGGTCCTTAATAGACTGCTCTCCATGGCTTGCTCAGTTTGCATTATTATATAACCCAGGACTGCCTGCCCAGGGATGGCACTGTCTATAGTGTGCTAGGCTATCCCATATCAATCATTAATCCAGAAAATGCCCTATAGACTTGCCTACAGGCCAATCTTATGGAGGCATTTTCTCAAGTAATATTCCCTCTTCCCAGATGCCTCTAGCCTGCATCAAGTTGGGAAGGAAAAAAAAAAAAAACCCTAACCAGGGCAGGACTAAACCAGGACCTCAAGCATGCTAGTTAAGCACTGCGCCACTGTGCTTTTTCCCAGGTCAAGAACGAAGCTTCCTATAAGCTACTGCACACTTCCCAGAGGAATCCTCCACTTCACTCAGGTCAAGATCTTGGGATTAACTTTTCTCATCCCTCCAGAAGTTCTTTAACCAGCCGTGAGCATAGAAAACAAAACAAAACTCATCTAATGGGAGTGACTTTCAGGAAATGGGCACCCACTGGGCAGTGTTTCTTAAGACACAAGTCAGAGGATCCAGGGAGTGACTGAAACCAGTTGTTGGCCTCTGAGTAACCAGCACATGCTGACTCGATTTGTCCCTTTTTCCTTCCTGCTATAAAACCTGACAGAGAATCACAATCATTACTGCAAGCAATTCCTATACCCTTATCCTGTTTTCACTGTAGGTAAGGATGGGTTTTACATTTTTAGAAGGTCAAAGAATATACTACAGAGACAACATGAAATAGATAAAGACAAATATTTACTGTCTGGCTCTTTACAGAAGTTTGCTAACTAGGATGGCAAGTTACTATGGCTTCTTCCCTCTAGTCAACAAATTCTAGTACTGTATCAAACTATGTGGTGACTGTTCACAGTGCTAAACTCCGCTGAGGACAGAGATGCATGACACTGATCTTCTCCTAAGAAGTGCATACTGATGATATTAGAGACTAAGGTGGTGATGGTGGTAGGATGCCAATCCCTGATTCAGAAAACACCTGAGAGTTTACTATATCCCAGATACAGCAGACAAAACAATGAACAAAATAGTCTCTCCCTCAAAAATCTGATAACTGGGTGGTAAAGACAGTGAGAAAATCATTCTGTGCAGAAAAATACATGGTAGTTCTATCAGATACACCAGGAGAATATTCCACCTCTAAAAAATAAATTTCTTCATATTCATGAGTTTAATGAGGAACATGCTAGAAGACAAGTACAGAGAGTGCTATGGAAAGCCAGGAACCAAAGGACATGGGAGGCTGGGGAGGAGCATCAGGAGGATGCCATCAAGAAAGTCATCTATATAAAAGTTTCAGTACAGCCAGGGCTAAATAGAGAGACTCTGTCTCAAGAAACAAAACAAACATCAAACTATAAATAGGGGCCAGCAAAGTTACTCAGTGGGTAAAGGCTCTTGTCATATAGACATGGTAATCTGAGTCTGATCCCTAGAGCCCACAGTGCAAGGAGAGAACCAGCTCCTCAAAATTGTTCTCTGACCTCTACAAATGCACCATTGCACACACACTTTGCCTTACACAAGCAACATACTTATATACACAAATAATAATTTTAAAATAATTATGAAGGGTTAGCTTATCTCTAGAAGGCAGAATAACAACTTTTATTTTTCATTTTTACCTAAATTATATTCTCTATAATTATTATGTGTTAGTTTGGTAACAAGAAAATATATATATATACCTTAAGTTAAAAAACAGGGCTAGCCAAATAGCTTAGTAGGTAAAGGTACTTGTTTTGCAAGTCTGGCAACCTGAGTTTGATCCTTAGATATAAAAGTGGAAGGAGAACTAATTCCAAAGTTGTCCTCTGGCTTCTACACGTGCACCCCTCAGGTGATAATAATAGTAATTAAAGCAGAAGGGGGTGGGGGAGATAAGGGAGAAGGAGAATCACTAAAACACTTTGTTTGAAAATGCCATACTGATATCAAATAGCCTGTATACTAATTTAAAATAAAATGAGATTTTAAACAAAGAATCACCACTACCACTAATAACAACAAGAGAAAACTACTAGGAATTAGAGATGTGTCCTAGTGGCAGAGTGCTGCCTAGCACTACACACACATACAAAAATAAAACCCAATTATCAAACTACTCATTAAACTTAGTAAGTAAACATCAAGTACTGAGTGGACTCAAAACTCAAGATGAACAACCAAATTCAACATTCTAAAAGATAAATGTAAGAAGGCAAGCATGGCACACACTCCCAGAACTCAGGAGGCAGAGATAGGCAGATCTTTCTTAGTTCAAGGTCAGCCTGGTCTACATAAAGAACTCCACACCAGCCAGAGCTAAACAGTAAGACCCTGCCTCAAAAGTGATAAAAAGAATATGACACAAGAATACACTTACCAGCCATAAGCAAACAAATGATACACATTGAAAAGGCAACAACCATGATGATAGGCAACTGAAAAATACAATTGAAAAACACAGGTGTTTAGGAATAATCAGTGGCTATAAAACAATGTATGTCCACCAAGCTAGGAAAAGATCAAAACTTCTGCAAGCTCATATACACAAGATATCTTTTAATCAAACACCACTATTTATGGGTTTAAGCACAGTGACCTAAATCTTCAAACTGGTAAAGTTATGAGATGTAAGGAAACATGTTTCTGCTCCAAACCCGGGAAATAACTGTCCAGGACAGCAGACCTCTCTTCCATCCAGAGCACTCTGCCATCTGGCATAAGGCCCCAGAAAAGCTGCAAAGTCTTGTGAACAGAGGAGAAAAGAACAGTATTCCAAACACGCTTTGCCTTTCATTCACAAATTTATCTCTAGCAATTCTCTGATCACAATAAGATTGAAGTTCTCCTGAAAAAAAGGACTCCTCTACAGTTCCTCATGTGTTCTTACACAAAAAGGAAGTATGGTAGAGTCACAAAAGAAAGCAAATACTCAGTTATTTTCTCTGTACTCTGGTCTTATCTTTGTGGGGGAAACAGCATGCAATCTTTTCAACAGAGGTGTTTTCTACACTTTCAGACACAATACTTTCAATCTTGAAAAAATCATAAAAATTTTCTTACTGCCAGGAATTTCCAGTCCCTTGGAACACTTAAAGGACTGTGAGATTCTAATTCATCCACTGAATAGTTTCCAAGAAATAAGTCTATGGAATCCTAGAAAAGAAAGAAGGAAATTGTGGACTTTCCAAATTTGATTTCACTATACTGAGCAATAATGAAAGATATAACCATTCAATGCCAAAAAAAACATCAAATACAAACTTACTTGTCTAAATCCATCAGAAAAGTTGTTCTTGTAATACCGTAATAATGAATTGCAACCATCCATTATAAGTCCCAACCGAGTTCTTTTTCCAGTTCTGGTTAAGAAAGGTCCAATTTTAAATTATATGCATGCATACTAAATTCTAAGTTTTATGAACAGTGACTTTTTTTTTTTATAAAAATACATGATCAGTAAAGACATTAAAAATTATCCCTGAAAATATAGACATTTCACAAAGAAGTCACTAGCAGGCCCAAGAAATACATATAGTTGTCCCCTTATATCAACAAAGAACACTACTAGACACTTGTCTACAGATGTTCAAGTCCCTCATATAAAAAGGTGCAGTGTTTCCACGTATCCTATTCATACTCCCTTATTCTTTCTAAGTTACTTATGATGTCTAATACAATGTAAGTGTGAGGCAAACAGCTATTAGCCTGTATTTTTCAGGAAATAATGATATTAAAAAAATGTGCACATGCTCAGTACAGACACAAATACATTTTCCTGAACACTTTGATTAGTGGCTGGCTAAATCCATAGATACAATTCATGGATAAGAGGATCAATTGTATTTGTTCCCTAAAACATTACCAAGTAGATGCAAGAAAGTGAAACAGTTTTAGCTACAAAAACAAGAACTATGAAAAGAAGTACAGCCCATGTTAAGAGGTATAAAACAACACAGCAACTAGCAATAACATTTGCTCCCAGAAATCTTTACAGTGTTACGCAAAAGATCTAAAGGCACCTAGAACAAATAAAAAGAGCAGGAGCGTTGTCTGGAAGCTTTGCAGAGGTACAGCTCACAGGCTGTGCCACAGACCTGTGAAGTCAGACTGGTGATTTGGATGCACCGTGATGTTAGAGAAGCACCATAGAACCCTTAACCCTCTCTGTGCATCAGACTGCCCCAAGGAGGCTAGGAACCCACCAGTGCCCGAGCTTTATCTTCCAGCAATCTTGACAGTCCTCGTGAAGCCCAGGAGCTTGGTTTGGAAAACTGTTTCCTGAAAGCTAACCACAGAACTCCAGAAAGCATTAGGACTACAAGCCACTGATGTGGCATATAAATGAAAAGTGTGGGTTACCTTGTAAAGTCAGTCTTCAAGGCACCAGTTCCTGCATATTGTTTGGCACAAGCATTAGCATTATCGGCCCAGGCTTTGGGAAAAATAAAATAACAGCCAATAGTGATTAAGGTGCCAACTAAAGTTCTTATATAAAATACTGATTTCAAAATTTGAACTTTGCTCCTATTAAAAAATTACCTACCATTTTTATAAATCTTTTCAAATTCATCTTGTTCTTCAAGCTTCTGTCCCACATGCAAAACTCCAAGTCTCTAGAAAAAGAATCACACCAGTATTTATGAGTGATAAGATTTTAGCAGACCTGACTTAGGAAGAAAAGGCAACAGTCCCCAAATCCTATCATGGGGGTTCTTTTCCTGGCAGTGCAAAGCACAAGTGTGCTTCAGATTTTAGAGCTCTTGTCCACCCACCACAGACTATAGGAAGTTCCTCTACCCACACTCTCTTAAGCCCAGGACAACAGGGATAAGAGCTAGATGGTACTCAGAAGGAGGGAAAAGAAAGGTAAAGTGAAACCTACTATGAGACTTAAGTTGTTATTCCTCCTTCCCTTCTGTACCCTTTACCCGTCTGCCTTCCTCACCATTCACCATCCCAGGCTTCCACATCTAAGTCACTGAAGTCTTACTTTCTACCCCCAAGGACCTCTGATGAATGCTACATATTCATCTTCCCCAAAACTGCACCCACACACATGAGCTTATATAGAAGGGGGCACACACAGCCCTTTTTATAAAATTTCCAGGGTGGCTGAGCCCCTGAATTCTTCTCTATGGACTACTCTTTGGAGTCTACCAGCCACATATTAGGAAGCCCCGTCTTAGACTTTGTTTCAAATCATCAACTTTCTGAACCACCTCAGTTAACACCTCACCATCTCTTGCCAAGAATGAGTCAGAACGCCTCAGTGGCTTTTAGCTGCGCAAAAACTGCCCCTACTGGAGGGAAAAGCTCAGTGGGAGAGTTCCCACACCATCTGACAAGGCCACCTCACAGACTCCTGCCCAAAGATGCTCTGAAGTTCATTATGTTTCAGCAAACTGTATTTAGCACATGAAATAGATCATAGAACCTAATTCAGCAGGCTCTGAGTAGCCATGGGACCAAACCATTTCTAATCCTTTTCTACTGAAAACTATAGCTGAAGTATCTTCAATAAATCGACACAGCACAAACTAGACTGCTCATCACTCCTTTGACACAGTTACTTTATGACTCAGGAATAATTCCTTCTAAAGCAGACACCAAAATTTCCCTGAGTGTCAAAAAATTGTCAAAAACAAAGTTTAATACTTACAAATTATCTAGACATTTGGAACATACTTTGTCCTTCACAACAAATGCCAATGTGATTTAGAAATATAGGCTTTGTTCATATTTAAAATTGAATATACATATAGAAGAAGCCGTTTGCATCTATTTGTTCTCCTTAGCACAATCCTAATGATAAAGAAATTATGCCAGAAACGTTTAATCAAGAAGCTAATGTCCCTTGTCAGAACAAGAGATTCAAATAAATTTTTTTTTTTTGGAGACAAGGTCTCATATAGCTCAGGGTGGCCTGGATCTTCTGCTTCCACTTTCAAATGCTGTGATTATAGCTATGTGCCACCATACAGAGTTTATGTGGGATTAAATCCAGTGCTTCATCCATACTAAGCAAGCACTCTACCAACTGAACTATACCCCAAAACATTTTCATATACCACTAAATTAGAAAAAAAGGAGTTGGATATGGTAGCATAGGTCTGTAATCCTAGAATTTAGGAGGCTGAGGCATGGAAAACAAGAGTTAAAAGCCTACATGTGCTACAGAGTGACCGACCCTGCCTCAGAAACAAAAAAGCAAAACAAAACAAATAAGACATATCTTAAAACAAAAATATCTAATGCAGCTAGAGTTCCATAGAATGGATTCACTTATTCATTGCTGATATCAAAATAAACTGATATGGACCTCTTAGAAAGTAATATATTTATTCTCCATAATTTTGTAATTCCACTTCTAGGAACTAGCCCAACTAAGGTTAGTTTAATCATCAACTTGACACAACCTAGAGTCACTTGGGAAGAGTCTCAATGAGGGGCTGTCTAGATTAAGATGACCTGTGGGATAATCAATTGTCTTGATTTCATTACTGATGTGGGCAACCAAGCTTGACGGTGAGCAATATCACTCTTTTGTGTCCTGTGGAAATTTGAATGTAATTGGCACCCATAAGCTCATAGAGAATGGCATTATTGGGAGGTGTGGCTTTGTTGGAACAGGTATGGCCTTGCTGGAGGAAGTGTGTCACTGTGAAGATGGGCTTTGAGGTCTCATATATGCTTAAGGCACACCCAGTATCTCAGTTCACTTCCTGTTGCCCTTGGATCAAGATGTAGAATCCTCAGCTCCTTCTTCAGCAACATGTCTGCCTTCATGCTGCCATATTCCCAGCCACCGTGCTCCCTGCCATGATGATAATGGACTAAACCTTCAAAACTGTAAGCCTCCACCTCAATGAAATGTTTTCCTTTATAAGAGTTGTCATGGTCATGGTGTCTAGTCACAGCAATAGAAACCCTAACTAGACAAGTCCTGAACTATGAAAAGAGGGAAAAGTGAGCTGAGCACTAGCAAGAATGCATACATTCACTCTCTCTGCACTTGACTGTAGATGTAACTGGCTGCTTCAGAATCTTGATTCTTTGACATCTCCATGTTGTTTAACAATTTCTTCCAAGATAAAACATCCCATCTTGCAGGAAAACTCATGACTACACACTAAAGAACTCAGAAGCTTAGCAAGTCTCTGAAATTGACCAGATAACTCTAGGTCCCTCTCTCCCCAACTTATGAAAATACTAAGGACTACCAAGACACCCTCAAAACCACCAAGATGCCTGAAAGTGACTCTTCAATCTTTCAAGCTGCCTGCAAGTCATGCAGTACCCTCCAGGTTTCCAGTTTCATGAGCCATCACCTGTTAGTGTAGGCTGTAGGTAATACGTATTTGAGTTGTTTTTGCTCCTCTAAGTAACCCCAATGAACTCACTGATTGACTAAATTGGACTTCAATGGCTATCCTTATTTTGGTAAGAATACTGTTGTGAATTCCCCATCCGGAATGAATATACATTTGTTGATGTCTCCCCAGGAATGCTCTCACATGGCACTTCAGAGTGATGGACTACAACCCAGAATTGTGAGCTAGAATAAATCTTTGCTCCCTAAATTGATCTTGTCAGCTTAATTAATCAAAGCATTTGGAAAGGAAACTAAAACCCAAAGGAGTAATTCAAGTTAATGATATTAAAAACAGATACATTCTCTACAGTATTACATAAAGGCCCCAAAATACAGTAATGTAAATGGCTTAATAAATTATAGTTCAATATATACTATTAAAACTATGATTACATAAATACTAAAGGAAAATGGCAAACTAGGGACCACACATGTGCTCTGATGATAGTTATGGAAAACTTGTATACACCAGTGATGGCAAGATACAAAAATAAAAACATCAAGTTAGGGTGCAGACAATGTGAGTATTTTTGTTGCTGGTTTTTAAAGGTTCTTTTCTTCTTTTTTAAAATACATATATTTTTTGTCAATAAAAGATTCAAGAAAGTAATATTCACCTGCAGCTGGGCCTGAAGGGAACGTCGAGCTAATAAACTCTGGATCACATTTGTTCTATCGAGACAATCCATACAGTTGCTGCGGAAAACTCCTTCTTGGTTTGTTACCACCTTGCCAGCAGAGTCTACTAAAAAATAACTGAAACACATTTATGTGAGCACTCTTATACCAAAGTACACTAGACATACCAGCAACACAACTCTTACTTAGAAGACAGGTTTTATGGGGTGATCTTAGTTAAAACCATAAATTACAAGGCCAAATGGAGTACACAGTAGGCATATTTCATTTTTCTAGACCAAATGAGAATCTGAATGGCTGAGACAACACAGGTTTTTTTGTTTTTGTTTTTGTTTTTCAAAACACAGCCTTCACAGAAGTCATCAAACATAGGGAGAACAGTGAAGGAAACGATTGCTATGGAAACCATGTTTCTTAAGGTCGCTTTAACATGATTTCAGCCATGTCCCAACATATCAGGGGCTAATGGTTTCTCCAAAATCCCTATCAGAATCTCCTGAGTTACAAATAAAAATTCTTAGCCTTGAGAATCAATGGAATCACAATCTCTGAAGCAAAGGTTGGAAAATGCATGTAAAATGTTTTTTTTTCTCTTTTAAAATGAATAACCATGCAAATAGAACAAAATAGGAAAAGTACATTTTTGAAAATTCAATTTTCCTTTTCCTTTGATCACTCAAATATGTATACAGTAGCCAAACATGATGGCAAACTTCTGAGTGTATTTATTTACTTATTCATTCAATTATTTATTTTTGGTTTTTCAAGACAAGGTTCTCTGTGTAACAGTCTTAGCTATCCTGGAACTAGCTTTGTAGACCAGGCTGGCCTTGAACTTACAGAGAACCGCCTGCCTCTGCCTCCAAGTGCTGGGATTAAAGCTGTGTGCTACTATACTTGCCCCCTCAAAATTCCTGCATGACAGCAATTAATGGTGAACCCAAGGCACCATCCCCTCCACCAACAATGTCAAACCTAGCCAATCTCTTCTCTAATAGCCAGCCACAGTACAATCCTATCATCCTTTACTATCTGTGCTCATGACAGAATGTCACAGGAAAATAAAGTAACTGTAGTTCATAGCTATGTATACTAATATATTTTTAATTGAACTGAACAATGCTCATCAGAGACATAACTGAAATTTAAAAGTACATTTGGCATACTATATACAAGTAAAAAAAAACTGTCAAAAATTTAAAAATTAAACAAAAAAGTATATGTGGAATACCAGGTTAGAACTATCACAGAGGTAAAACAATAGAATGGTATATAGATTATTTTGGCTTTAAAACAAGACTGACATATGTACACAGAACAGTAAACCTGTGAACCAGCACAATAAAACATTTAGCAAACATTTCAAAAAGCACCATAAAGATGTTAAAATCTTTTGCTCCACTAATCTTATACTGAAGAATCTTTTTACAAGCAAAATTTTAACACACATAAAAAAATACACAATACTCATCTAAAGAGAACCACTTGCGGCACACTGTTTCAGAAGTAAGGAGAGGACCCAGACACTCCACGTGATAGGAGGCATCTAATTAAAGCTATGTTGTGACCTAACAGGCTGCAGAGAAGACACTGAAAATTGTCATTACAAAGGCCCCTAATAGAATCCTGTGATAAAATGACAGACCACTGAAACTAAAATAGTAATAAACCAACTGCAATTATGTAAAAGTTGGAAAATATATGAATATTCCTGACATTAGCCCAATTGTAAAAATTCAGAGTTATTCTTCAACCAACACTCTTCCAATACAAAAAAATTTAAAATAAAACAGCATATATAAGCAATGATAACCCAATGAAACAGCTTTACAAATCTGCTAAATAATATATAATTAATAAGATTGGCACATACAGCTATCTCTCCCCCTTACCTCTCTAAGGAAGTAATATGGCTTACCTTAATTCATCCTGTATTTCTGCTACTTGATCCAATAAAATACTTAGTCGGTCCCATCTCATATTTTTACACTCCTTATGGAAATCAAAGGCAAAATACCTACCAAAAAAACCCCACATACTCAGAAACTGAGGAGACCATTCAATTTCCTTCTATTAATTATCCCTATTAAGATGATTTTTCTCTATATGTGAACATGCATAATACTAGGAATATAGAGCCTCCTTCATTCTGGGCTTATTAAAACAATAATTACCACTACTACTTCTACACATACACACATACATCTCCCTACTACTTACTATTACTACTACTACACACACAAACACACAGAGACACAACAACTATTACTCACAAACACACACCTCCCTACTACTGCTACTACTACCACACACAAACCAACTACTACTATACACACATAACCACTACTACTACTCATTCACACTACTACTACACACACAACTACTACCATACACACTACTACTACTACACATACACCAACCACTACTATACATACACAACTACTACTACTCATACACACACACCTTACTACTATTACACACATACACAACTACTACTACACACACAACTACTTCTCCTCACACATACATAACTACTACTACTACACACACAATTACCACACACAACTACTACTACTCATACACACACCTCCCTACTACTACTACACACACACAACTACTACACACACAACTACTACTACTCACATCCACCTTCCTACTACTACTACATACACATGACTACTACTACTCCTCATACACAGAACTACTACACACACAACTACTACATACACACAATTACTACTACTATTACTCACACACACATCTCCCATGCTCATATTTATAGTGGAGGACAAATAAATTAAAATTATAAGATAAATTTTATTTTCACATATTATTCTAGGGGCCTGCAGATAAAAGCAGATAAGCATAGCAAATATTAGTAAAGCAGATCAGACTTAACAGTATTGGCATATACACTTCAAGAGGCACAATCCAACTGAATACCTAATATATATTTATTTCCTATCCCTGTGTGCAAAGAATATGGTTTCTTCTTACTATTTTCCAGATCAATATGCTCAAAGTATTGAAACTCAGCAGAGTCTATGGTGGATTAGGCTGGGTGTCTGCTGTGAACTAGAGACTGTAAGAAGTACAGGGCCACAAGACAGTCTCTATAGTGTTAGCTACTGCCCAGCCTACCTACCCACTCCTGCCCCCATATCACTTTCCTTTACCAACATCTATACATTACACATATATATGCAGAGAAAATTCTGTCAATCTATAATGAACCCTTTACAATTACCTAATATTTAAGAAGTACAACTGTGGTGATATATTGTGTACCCCAATAAAACTTATATAGGGATCAGAGGACAGAGCCAGCTACTAGATTAGACATAGAGGCCAGACAGTGATGGCACACGCCCTTAATCTTATCACTGGGAGGCAGAGAGCTGTCTGGATCTCTATGAGTTCAAGGCCACACTGGGAACAGAGTCAGGCATGGTGGCACATGCTTTTAATCCCAACACTTGAGATCTCATGCCTTTGCTTGGGAAGCACACATTCCTTTAATCCCAGGAAGTAAGATGGCAGGGCAGAAAAAGGTATATAAGGTGTGAGGAAACAGGAACCCACTGTCTGGAGGCTGGGGATTCGTAGAGGTAAGAATGTGGCTGACTTGTTCTGTTTCTCTGATCTTTTAGCTTTCACCCCAATATCTGGCTCCAGTTTTCTTTTTTTATTAATAAGACCTTTTAAGATTCATGCTACATCCAACTCAAAGTTAGATAATCTCTAAATGTGAAGGTGTCCTACTATTTGTCATCTTTCCCTTGAGAAGGGGGAAAGCTCATTAGTCAAGCTCTGACAGTCAGTGGAGAAGAATGGCTACATGAAGTATGGCATATAACTAACTCTACTTCCTGCTCAGGAATCACAAGTAGGATGACTAGGAGGACACAGTTCCAGATGGGACTGTGCTCCCATCTGAAGAGTGAAAATGTAGATAAAGCATCCACTACTGTGTGACTCCCTTGTTCTATCCACACAATGTGGCTTCTAGCATGCAAGAGATCTACCACCTCAATGGTTATCTCAAGAGAGAATGGTAACCCTCAGAAATTAGCACTAAAATACATGTGGGCCAATGACAGGAAGCAAGAATGGCATTTTAAAAGGCAACTTCAAAAAAGTAGCATTGGGCTGGGGAGATGGCTCAAAAGTTAAAAGCACTGGCTGCTCAGAGGTTCTGAGTTCAGTTCCCAGCAAACACCCGGTGGCTCACAACCATCTACAATGATCTGGTGCCCTCTTCCAGCATGCAGGCATACATGCAGACAGAACACTGTATACATAATAAATAAATAAATCTTTAAATAAATAAAATAAAATAAAATAAAATAAATATTTTAAAAAAAAGCAGCACTGTAAGTTATTTTGAGTGCTCTGACCAGAATTATCAGCCATAGCCCAGCTTTAAGCAGACCATCACAGAGTATCTAAAACCAACACCTATGATTAATTGGACAGCAAAGATACTGCTCCAGATGAGGTCACTACACAGTGTTAAACTGGTCTAGCTCATGCAGTGGTAAAAACCATATCAAGCAATCTTAAAGTACTGAAATTTAAGAGGCTGCAAAGTTGGCTCAGCAGTTAAAAGCATTGGCTGCTTTTCTAGAAGACCCAGGTTTGATTTCCAATACCCATATGGCAGCTCACAACCATCTGTAACTCTAGTTTGCTTCTGGCCTCAGTAGGCACTGCATGCGTGTGATGCAGACATACATGTAGGCAAAACACACATACACATAAAAGTTTAAAAACCTTAAAAAAAACCCACACACCTGTATTTGTGACCTAATAGGCCACTGTTTTGCAAAACCTTGATGAAAAGATTTTAACTAGAGATTAAATTCAAAACTTGACCATAAAGTTACTCTATAATATAAATTGCATCAGAGAAAATTTCAAACCAACCAAAAGGAAAATTATGCTTTCATCTGGTACTGAAAATATGCAAGCTGGGGGTTAGAGAGATGGCTGAGCAATTAAAAGTACTTGCTGCTCTTCCAGAGGATGACCCATGTTCAGTGACCTGCATCCATATTGGGTTGCTTACATCCAGCCTCCATGAGCACTCCACATGCACACACATATACACTGTTTAAAATGCAAGTTGAAATATAATAGCATACTCTTTGTATTCATATACATAAGTGCACATGTGACTTGAAAGGCTCTACAACAGACACCTAGTAAGATACCTGATCATCCCACTACCCAAGGATGACACCATTTTCGCAAATGTCTGCTCAAGTGGTTTCTCTGATCCCTTGTGGTTCACCTGTAAAAAAGTTAAAACAGCATGACTTTCTATTTAGATAGAGAGTGATACCAGGAAATTAACAAGGAAATGCTAAGTTTTAAAAGGAAGTCATCTGAACCAACTTTGTAGGACCTATGGAAAAGCAATCAAAATTTACAGCAACCAACAAAATATCCATCAGGAAAAAAACCACCTTCTAAGCTGCAAGAAACCTCTGCAGCATTTTGTCCTTCCTCTTCCACCATAAGGATGATGAATTTTGTTGTAAACAATAGGAGCCTTGTTTTTATCTCCCTTCATCAAACCAGTAGACGCAGACAAGATCCGATGTACATTAACTATACACATCTGAAGAACTAAACTATCTCTGTATGGTGTAACTGCACGAAGGTCAAAAAACACTGGACTCATTGTAAAAGCTACAACTGAACTATTAGCCAATGGATACCTGGAGCAAGAGCTTCTTTCTGGATAGAGACATAAAATAGACCACCTAAAGCCTGAACAAACCAAGTGATGCTCTTTAGAAAATAGGGACATTCAAAAGCAGCAGTATATATGAAAGAATTCAGAAAGCAACTTCCAGACTCAGGCAGGAAACATATTCAGAAAAATCCGACTACTACAAACATCACCACCTGTTGCTCTTTAGCCTTCAAATATGCCTGGCTGGCTAACTGGTAAACTGTGCCCAGTACAGAACCAGTTTGCAAAGACTAGAGGATGGGTTGTTCTTTTGTTTTATTTTGTTATTTTGTCTTTTTTCAATTCCTAGAGTTCAATGAATTCTGCCAAAACATTAGCTGAACATATTAAAAGAGTCTTCAGTGAGCATGCACAGTGAGGAAAATCTTTGCAAAAGAGTCTGGAAAAGTGTAACAAGTGCATCACTATAATTTTTAACAATCAAAAAACCAAAACAACAAAACAAAGCACAACTAGCTCTGGGAAGAAAACTGACTCCAGTGTTGCAACATTATAATAATCAAAGACATAATTTTTAAAGAAAATCAGTCATAGAAAGAAACAGGAAAAATAGCTTATCCAGTATACCAGAATTTAAGAGATAAAACAATCATAGTGATAAGAGGGAATTTCATTACTGCAAATGCATATATGAAAACAAACAAACAAAACTAGTTAGTGGTGGTAGCAACATGCTTTTAATTTTAGCATTCAGGAGGCAGAGGCAGGCAGAGCTCTATGAAGTTCAAGGAGGACATAGGTTCAATTCCCAGCATCCACATAGTAGCTCACAACCAATTATAACAACAGTCCCAGGGGATCTGATGATAGCTTCTAGCTCCTGTGGGCACCATACACAGACACTGTACACATAAATAAATACAGATGACATACTTATACACATGAAAATAAAAAGACATAAATATTTAAAAATAAAGGAAGGAAAGAAGAAAAAGCTTCAAATTAATAACCTAACTTTACACATTAAAGAGCTAGAAAAACAAAGTAAACCCAAAGCTGGCAGAAGAAAAGGAATGACATGATTAACGCAGAAATGAAACTAACAGAGGAGAAGATCAAACACTGGTCCTGAAACACACTGACGAGCTGGGTTACAATGAACAAGAAGATTCAAATTACTAAAACCAATAACGGTAATGAGGACACTGCTAATAATTTTTAGAAAAATAAAATTTATAACAGAATATGATGGATACTCATACCAAAAAACAAAACAAAACAAAACATGTGCAACTTAGAGTTGAACAAATTTCTAAAAAAATATAATCTACTAAAACTGAACCATGAAGAAACAAAACCAGAACAGAAAGTTGGATGTGGCGGCTCACACATGTAATACTCACACTTGGGAAGTGAGGACAGAAAAAAGGTAAGAGTTCAAGGGTAGCCTGGGCTAACAGAGCCTCAACCTCACCATCTCCCCCTCCACAAAAGGAAAATCTAAACAGATCAGTAAGTAGGAAAGAGACTGAACTGGTATTAAAGAAAAGCCCCAGACCCGATCTTCACTTATCAATTTAACCAAAAAGTTAAGGATTTAATAAAAATTAGTACCACCTTTCTTTAAACTCCTTCAAAACTAAGAGGGTAGGTATGCTCTTTAATTCATTCATCATAACCAAAAGGTAGAAATAATCCAAATGTCTATCAATTCATGAATAGATAAACAAAATGTCTTATATTCCTCCAATAAGATATTATTGAGTCTTTAAAAGTAATGCAATTCTGATAGACATAGATGGCTCTTTAAAACATTATACTAAATGAAACAAGTAAAACACAGAGGACAAATATTGTATGAGTCTACATATATGAGGAACATAAAAATAGACAAATTTAGAAGAATCAGAGAGTAAAACAGAATCACTAGGAGCAAGGGGAAGGTGCTAAAAAAAACCACACCATTTACTAGGATCAGAGTTTCTGTTTGATCTGGTGAAAAGTTGTAGAAACATTAATTTAAAAATAAATTTTCCTGTTAATTAAATTGCTTTTGTTTTGTTGTTCCTCCCCAAAAAAACATTCAAACCTACCAGATTAATTATGACTTGCTTTCCATAAATAATTACTTGTGAATCAAAATGCCTTTGGAAACCATCCATCTAGAAGAGAGACAAAGGTATATAGTTTATTCAACTACATTATATGATTATTTACCATAATTCTTAAAGTACCTCCTTAACTATTCCATTTTTTTTGAAAAGATTATTTATTTTATGTATGAGTGCTCTATCTGCATGGACAATTGCATGCCAGAAGAGGGCATCAGATCCCACTAGGGATGGTTGTAAGCCATCATGTGATTGCCAGGAATTTAAGTCGGGACCTCTGGAAGAGCAGCCAGTGCTCTTAATTGCCAAGCCATCTCTCCAAGCCTGAACTATCCCATTTTTATGCTTAACAAAATGCCAGGATGAGGACTATGCTTTCTGGATAATGGAAACACCATGAGGTAAATGGTTGTTACAGCCATTTTATGCTGCATTACAGTATCACTATTTGAAATCTGAATGCAACTTTTGACAAATACACTACATTCTATAAACCTCATTGAGATCTCCCAAGTGCTCATCTGCCATTCCACTCAGTAAGTTTTCATTCTAATACTTGTAACATGTTATTGGAGGAAATTTGTTCTTATAGCCCAGGAGAAGGGGCTTGAAGATACTGAATTTTGTCTTGTGGGGAACAAATATGTATTCTATAGGCAAATCTAAAAGCATCTTGGGTTCTGTATGACCAGGGCCCTCCCCAGGCAAGCTGGGCTCTCATATCACCTCTACCCTTCACACAAAATAGGTTCTATTTTAACCAGTGAAAAGTTCAGGGAAATACATACATGATTTGCTACTTTATTGATCTGTGGTTGTGGTTTGTACTTTAGATTTGGTCTTTGTGACCAGAAAACAGGTATTGATCCTCGAGTCTAAAAGAAAAGAGAGAAATATGAAAAGAAAGATACACAAACTAGTTTCCTCAACCTAATTATTGTAAGTAGTACAGATATTAACAACTTTGCAAAGAAAAACAAACAAACATAATCTACCAGTTACAAAAGTCTATATGCACCTTCTTAAATTACCTGTTTTGCCAGGTGTGGTAGCATACACCTTTAATCCGAGCACTGGGAGGCAGAAGAAGGCAGATCCAGGTTTAAGGCTAGCATGGTCTACATAATGAACTCCAGGACAGCCAGGCCTATATATAGACCCTGTCTCAATAAAGTAAGTTCTTGGTTTATGGAAATATGCTTAAAAAGCACTTTCCCTTCCCAGTGTTACACACATGGTGGTCTACATAATGAACTCCAGGACAGCCAGGACTACACAGAGACCCTGTCTCAATAAATAGAGTTCTTGGTTTATGGAAATATGCTTAAAAAGCACTTTCCCTTCCCAGTGTTACACACATGGCACCTGTATAACAGAAAGTTCTGTGATCTCCCTGAGTTCTAAATATATATATTATATAGTATGGCAATATGAAAAAAATAGAAAATTGTTTTACTCATTCTCAAAGGAATGTATTTATGAACATCTGAATTTGTTTAGCTACTGATACTCTGGAGTAGGAAATACTGCACAACTCCACCAGAGGCAAAAGGTGAGCAGGACTGAGTAAGGCAGGTAAAGCCAAGTATACGCTATCAGCTTGTGCTATCATCATCGCCTTAGGTAGGATCTAAGGCTTACACTGGTGAACTGCTAAACTTCCATAAACCTCACACTTACCTCCCTCTTCTTTTTGCGGGGATTTAAGGGCAGGAAGTATTCATAAGACACCACCAGATTAATAATCCTTTATTAGCTGAAAATTTTCCACATTGTACACAAAGATAGTATTTAAAAAAGAAGGAAAGATTGGTCTGGCAGTAATCACATGTAATCCTAGCATTGGGGATATGAAGACAGGAGGATCTGGAGTTCAAAGTCATATAACCAATTATATAGAAAGTTTAAGGTCAGCCAGTGCTGCATGAGACGCTGTTTCAAAAAACCTGAAGAGAAGGAGGAAGAAGAGAAGAGAGAGAGAGAGAGAGACAGAGGGGGGAGAGGGGGAGAGAGAGAGAGAGAGAGAGAGAGAGAGAGAGAGAGAGAGAGAGAGAGAGAGAGAGAGAAGAAAAGTAAGGGGAAGAGAAAAATTTCAACATGACAGAAAATAGAAGATCAAGTAGAAAAGGCCAACTGGATGACCGCCAAACATATACACTTGCCTGTACAAATGAAGCCCTGTTCCCATTGTAGTGCACGATCTGTTCTGTTTCTACAAAGTTAGCTGCATGGCCTTCAGAATCAATTCCTAACATTTGGTACAAAAGACATGTATAAAAAAATCATTAACTCAAGATAACTTAAGAATTATCAATTCAGTTCACATTAATGGATAAGTACTCATAATATTAAGTTCAAACAAATGGATAATACATTATTATTAAATTAAAAGAAGCTTGCCTAAATAGGCTTAAAGAATAGTTAAGATTTATTTACATAAACATGTAGGTATTTTTCATACTAAAAACATCCTCAAAAAACAGTCCCCTTTGAAGAAAAGAAAGTCAAGCATGCCTACAAATCCTCTTTTGAAGTTAAAACTATCATTTTTTGTGATTATAGTTGGTAATAACGCTAAATGAAAATGTGGTTCACTGCATCAACAGTACTTAGTTGCAATGCAAAGAGTCTCTAGAAGATATTTAATCATTAAATAAAAAATTGTGTCTGATCCTAAACATCCATGACCATGAACATGTCCATGAAACCTAGTTTGAAAGCACAGTGTAATGTACTTACCAGAGACTCTACACTGGTTAGGCCTTTCTGGTATCTGAAGTACTTCCGTTTTAGCTTGTTTACATGATTTACTGTTACTAAGAAAAGTCTGCTAAGCAAAAGCAATTTCCAAGGTACCTCTGATCCAGATTACCAGAAAGATTATCAGAAAGAATTTTTAACTCCTCAATATTTAAAACACTCTTTTTGTGACATGCTGTGCAATGTTCTGTATGGCAAATGTGTTGCTGATTGGTCAATAAATAAATCACTGATTGGCCATTGGCTAGGCAGGAAGTGTAGGCGGGACAAGGAGGAGAATAAAGCTGGGAAGTGGAAGGCTGAGTCGGAGAGAGTTTTCCTGCCTGGCCCACAGTCAGGGGAAATCTCTCTCACCCGCCAGTCCCCCAGCCACTCAGACCCGACCAAGTAAACACAGAGACTTATATTGGTTACAAATGTATGGCCGTGGCAGGCTTCTTGCTAACTGTTCTTACAGCTTAAATTAATCCATTTCTACAAATCTATACCTTGCCACGTGGCTCATGGCTTACCGGCATCTTCACATGCTGTTTGTCATCATGGTGGCTGGCAGTGTCTCTCTGACTCAGCCTTCCACTTGCCAGCTTTATTCTCCTCCTTGTCCCGCCTATACTTCCTGCCTGGCCACTGGCCAATCAGTGATTTATTTATTGACTAATTAGCAACACATTTGCCATACAGAACATGATGAGAAACAGCATGTGAAGATGCCGGTAAGCTACGAGCCATGTGGCAAGGTATAGATTAATGGAAATGGATTAATTTAATCTGTAAGAACCGTTAGCAAGAAGCCTGCCACGGCCATACAGTTTGTAACCAATATAAAGTCTCTGTGTTTACTTGGTTGGGTCTGACAGCTGTGGGACTGGCAGGTGATAGAGATTTGTCCTGACTGGGCCAGGCAGGAAAACTCTAGCTACAGTGACATATTTCTAAAATAAAGCATTTTGAGTTGTTATCAGGATGTCTGTAACTATACATTAGTAGATCAGAAGGAAGCAAATTTACTGAGCTACACTAGCAATGGTATCACTTCTCAAAGCTAAATTACTTTCAGAAGCAAGGCTACATTTGTTTCCTTCTGTGGTGGTTTGAATAGGAATGCTGGCACTCCCCCCACCCCCCCCACCCCCGCCCCATGGGCTCATATTAGGGAGTGCACTACTTGAGAGGGATTAGGTGTGACCTTGTTGAAGTAGGTGTGGCCTTGTTGGAGGAAGTGTGTCACTGGGAGGATGGGCTTTTGGGGTTTCAAAAGCCCAAGCCAGTTCCAGTGTCTCTTTTCTTCCTGCTGCCTTCAGATTGGGATGTAGAACTCTCAACAACTACTCCAGTACCATGTCTCTCTGTATGCCATCATGATGTAATGGACCAAACCTTTGAAACTGTAAGCAAGCCCCAACTGAATGCTTTCTTTTCATAAGAGTTGCTGTGGTCACGGTGTTTCTTTACAGCAACAGAACACTGACTAAGACACCTTCCATAATTCCCATTAAGGAACAAGATGCAGTTATTTTACAAAGAGAAAAGACGTGGAAGAAGGGAAAGCAGGAAAGAGGGAGATATCATTATGAAAAGACTTCCAAAACATATTAATTTTTTAATAAACCAAGATGTAGGACATTATAAAATATAACCACTGTCTATAAAAGGAAGAAAACATACCTATATTAATATAAAGTTACAGTGTAGGATAAGTAAGAAATTAATATCTGGTTTAACAGAGGAGTAAGAACCAAGCAGATTAAATGGGAAATTTCTATAATTCTAAAAATAAAATTCATATTTAAAATATGTCCTCAACGCTTAAAAATCCAAGAAAATATGGTTAAGGAGATGCTAACTATAATTTGGTTGAGGCCATTCCTAGTGGCTTTTTCCCAATGCTATAGCATCTGTAATAACATTAGTCAGATATTCTCTATATAACTCTCTGGGCTCAAAATTACAGTTATTTGTTTAGTAGGATTTTATTCTAATATATTATGGTTGAAAGCAAAATAAATGTTGGAGAATCTTCATATTCACAATAACTATAATAAACATCTTAACAGTTTGGTTGGAGCAAATTAGCATATTTTTAGTGCAAAGCCTACAGAACGCTCAAAATTTAAACAATCTACAAACTGAAGTCATAAAGTAAAATGGTTACTTTTATACTTGCAAAGAGACTAAGAGTAATAAGAGAAATACTATCTGATATGAGTGTAAATTACTGAATACCACACTGATTTTAGCATATGTTCAGACACCCAATAAACGTGTAGCTGTTCTTAAACAGTTAAAGGCTATTAATTACAGTAGCTAGAGAAAAGCACAGAAGACCTATTAATTATTATAATGAGGACAAAAAACATCAGAAAGGGTATCAAATAACAATACATAAAAGGTCACAGTTAAGTCATTTAGGTAAGTGTTAAACAATGGAAGATATGGCCCAGTTATGCTGACATGAAATGATTCTTACCTCTTACATAGTATCGCACACCAGCTCTGAAACAACTCCTTCTAGAGATGAGAATCCAATCAAAGTATTTTCCATTAATAGAACATGAGTGCATAGTAATAACTTAACTATATTAAGAAAAATCTAATGTAGGAATAGCTCTAGATTCAATACAAATCTATTTACTATAATAGGAATGAATTGTCTTTAGGAAGAAAAAAAAAAAGACAGAATATGCAAGTCTTTCTGGTTCTTCATGATTATTCCCAAATCTTTAGTATCTTCATTTCCAACTGTTAAGTTTGTCAAGTCAGTTCTCCTATAGTGACACATGTACAGAATATTTGAGAACTTTGCTAGTGTTTCTATTTAATTTTTTCCTTTCCATGATATCTTCAATTACTTTCTAAAAGTATAGAACTAGGTGTCAATGATATCACCAAAAACCCTATTCTGAATGAAAACCAGAAATCTGAAAGAAATTAACCTTCAAATTAAGAAATGGAAAACAGAATAGGAGCTAGGAACATAGCTCAGTCATGGGTTCGATCCCTTGTACTGCAAAAAGTAACTACTTAAAAATTAAATGAAGAAGGGCTAGAGAGATGGCTCAGTGGTTAAGAGCACTGACTGCTCTACCAGAGAACCCAGGCTCAGTTCCCAGCACTCACATGGCAGCTCACAACTCTCTGGAACTCCAGTTCCAGGGGATTGGACACTCTTCTCTAGCCTCCTTGAACATCAGGCACATATGTAAATGCACACATGTACATGAAAGCAAAACATACACATAAAAGAAAATAAAAATTAAATGAAGAAAAAATGCTATTGTAGTTAAAGAAAAAAAAAATGAAATACAGCCAGGCAGTTGAGGTGTATGTCTTTAATCCCAGGGCTTGGGAGGCAGAGGCAGTCAGAGCTCCATAAATTCAAGGACAGCCTGATCTACAGAGTGAGTTAGTTCCAGGACAGTTAGGGCTACACAGAGAAACCCTGTTTCTTTAAAAAAAAAAAAAAGGAAAGAAAAAAATCATACGTATAATTCATACATGTAAATTAATCACAATAGTTGATATATGAAGATTTACAGATTGAAACAAACTAAATGCTTTTTCTCTGGAATGTAAAAAAATAAACCTAAAAGTGAAAAAAAATAATGTAAAAAATATGTAAAATGGTAGAGTGCATTCTAGCATGCATGAAGCCCTGGATATGATACCCAGCATGACATAAATGTTATGACAGATGTAATAACACATGAATGTAATTTCAGCACTCAAAAGTAGAAGGTTCAAGATCATATTCAGATGTACAGAGTTCAAGGTCAGCCTGGGATTTCTCCAAACCTTTCCTTCAATACTAGTCACTGAATTGTACAATTAAAACTGACTAAAATGGTGGCTTTTAGTCAAATCTATTTGATCAAAATAAAACCTTTGTAGGCAAGTGCATCTCTGAAGCATGCTGAGCTTGCTCCATCTGACTCTATAACTGCCATTGAGAAAGGGACCTGCTGTGGTGTAACAATCTTTGTACACTGTAAACACGTATTACTCTCATTGGCCTATAGCTGGGCAGTAAGAGATTCGGTGGGAAAATTCTGGGAAGGGTGGAGTTAGAGAAGTTGCCAGGAGATGCAGAAGGAGCAAGACATGCTGGAAGACAGGTAAAGCCACATGGCAGAACACAGACTAATAGAAATGGGTTAATTTAAGTTTAAGAGCTAGTTAGTACTAAGTCTGAGCTATCAGCCAAGCATTTATAATTAATATTATGCCTCCGTGTCAGTTATTCAGGAACTGGTGGGTGGGAAAGAAAAGTCTGCCAACAGGGACCACTTATTTCATTCCTTTGCTTGGTTTTCTAGTTTTGCTACTAAACAATGTATTTATTCTGAACAGCTTTTTACTTTTTTTGCATGAAAGGCATTACAATGTAAGCATTCCTGAAGCCTTGCATGCTCTGTATGTTTGAGACTCATTCACTACTACAATTATTTAATTATCCTCTGCATAAACATACTACTGGTTGGTGTTTTGTATTGTTATGGTGGGGAGTATTAAACGGTTAACCTTCCTGCCTCAGCTTTACATGGGGCTGAAATTACAGGCATGTACCACCACATCAGAAAGGATATACTACTTTATTTGTCCAGTCTACTGTTGATAGACATGCAAGTTGTTTCTGGATTCTGCTGTCATAACCAGTTTCAACAAACATTTCTTTATGTGAGCCTGTGGACATGGATCAAATCATATCCACCATCTGATACTATCAGAAAACGTCAATGGACTTGATAATTATTTTAGCTTATTCTCTTTACCCACTCTTGATATTGTCGAGTTTATCCAACTCATGGAGGAATTAAGAGGATAACAAGTTTTATTGTTTCACTGGCCATATTGTTTATTTTTTCTAATTTGTTTAGGTTTGCCCTGTTTGCTATATGTAACATTTTTCTTAATATAATTTTATTCACTCATCATAAAGCATAATAAAATAATCCATGAGCCTGCCATCCAACTTCAGAATACAACCAAGTCTCAACTTACCCATTTCTTCTCCTTTCTAGCCAGCTGAATTTATGTCCAGAAATAACGACTTTTAACAAGTTTGTGGCAACCATTCTGTCTTTCTAGTTTCTATACCTATAATCATCACTTAAAAAACAAAAAACTTGCATTTGAGCTTTATGAAAATGACACTACACTACAGCCTTCTAAACCTGTCATTTCTCCCCATAAGTTCCCAGAGTTATCCCAGAGCAATTTATTCCTCTTCAGAGTTGTGTGTAATCTGAAAAGGACCAGACCACAGAGACCTAATTCCTCTATTCTATGGGGCTCACTATTTTGTTATAAAATGCTGCTATGAACTTTCTTTTATTTTTTTTTATGAACTTTCTTTTAAATAATTCTGGTATGAACGCATTAGGAATTCAAACAAGAAGTACTGGCAAATTCTCAAGAGATCAATGGGAAGTACTAACAATCACTGCTGCCTGTCACCACAAAATTCACTGATGGTTCCTTAAGCTCGCAAATAACTTCCTTCAAAAGTCATAGCACCAGAGAAGATTCCACGGCAGTATTATTTCACTTGCTTGCCCAAATTAACTATTTTGAGACTGGACACAAAGATAAAGTAATACATTACCCTGCTGCTAGAGAGTTAAATCTGGTAGAAAATACAACTGCCTTTATGACTCATTTTCCTCTGATTACAGAAAGAGTACGTGTGCATGCAAAGACACACCAACCACCAAAATGAGATAACCTTAGAAAAATGAATGAATTCACTACTCTTTATCCAGAGTTAGACCCAGGCCCACCTAACCCTACTCCCCAGGAGGCCCACTCCACACACTCCTCAATTTCCACCACTAATGGCTAACAATGTTTCTTCATATTTCACTGAAAAGGCCTATATGCTCCTATGACATATTACCCACCGAACCTACAGCCAGGCCAGAATTCCCTCTTCGTTCATATACTCAAAGCCTCACTCCAGTATGCACCCTTACCATCCCCAACTTCTCTAAAACCTTTCTTAGCAGACTTCATTAATTTCCTCATTTGGAGAGGGAGGACAGGAACAGGAACATAACCTCCTTCCTGAATCGTCATATCTAACCACTATCATGTCTCAGCTGTTGACACCCTCTTCTTGGAAACACTGTCTTCACTGGTTTCCAGGACATTCCTTTCACTTGCTTTGCCTTTCCCTCACTGGTCTATGTTAGTATCTGCATAAAGCTTGAGCAACCATATAATCTGCCCTTTCAGTTCACTCCCTGTGGTTCATTTTTAGAAGTCTTTTATGTAGTCTAATGCCTACAGTACATGGCTCTAGCATTTTCTTGTGATATAGAAACTCTTTCCAACAATACATCTCTCTCTCTTTAGAGTGTATATCTCCATTTCTCCCTTTAATAAGCTCATCTCATTTCATGGATTGAAATGGCATCCTAGCACTGATGAGATGGCTCAGTGGATAATCAAGTCACCTGTCACCAAGCCCACAGATCTGAGTTCAATCAATCCCTAGAACCCACAAGACGGAAGGAGATCTCAGACTCCTAAAAGTTGTCCTCTGACCTCCACAAGTGTGCACATTCACACAAAAACTAAACAGATGTTGTAAGAAAGAAAGAAATGCCATCTACCCTGACCACCCACAAACTTACATCTGTAAGGCCAGAAAGATGACTCAAATGGGTTACTTGCTACCAAGCCTACAAGGAGCTCAATCTCCAGGACCCACATAGCAAAACAAAGAATCTGGCCCCTGAAGTTGTCCTTTGAACTCTACACATGCATCATGAGGAGTATGCCATCTCACACATTCAAAACAAAAAGAAATTATGTCTCTCGTGTGAACTCTCCCCTCAACTCCAGTTCTATTAATCTGGCTCCTCCCTCACATCTTCATTCACCTATCTATTGAAATGCTGAGCTTCACAAATTAATGATACTTTTCTCCTTCCCTCCTACCTACAGACTTCATCTCAATGGACGGTTTCCTTCCACTTAACATGACAAGAACCTTACATTTTCAGCAATCTCTTTCATATTCCGTATATAATCAGAAAACCTAGTTAGCTCAATTTTTCCAAAGTTACCTACCCGATCACATTGATACCTTCCTGGTTCTTGGAAAAATCACCTCTCACTGGCATGACTTTGTCTCCACCTTACTCACACTTGGCCTACTGCTGTAACAGAGGGGTGCTGTCTTATTATGGCAATCCTCTGTTCAACCTCTACTCTCTCAAAGAACTTTTTCATCATATGTAAAGTAAAAGTCACAACCCTCCCATGGACTATTGAGCATTGAATAATTTGGGTTAAGAACCTCATGAAAACATCTCTCCCTGCCTACAGTATACTACACTAACATATACTTATTGATCTCTGTAAATATGAAACCTAGAAATACATTCCTAGTTAAGAAACTACACTAAATAAAAGTCCATTTCAAGCTTTAAATCCAATACTAAATAGGTAAGTTAATTATAAAGCTGCTTAGAAAACAAGTCTATGATCGTATTTGACTATTGTTGCAGGATCTTTTATCACACTGTGTGAAGATGTGTCACTGTTTTACCTTGCCTGCTTAATAAA